TAAACTGTCTCAACAACTTATTAATGATGTTCATGCTCTCTCTAGTACTATTCAGGATCTTCAGGATCAGGTTGACTCCTTAGCTGAGGCAGTCCTTCAAAATCGACGGGGCCTTGATTTGCTAACTGCGGAAAAGGGGGGTATTTGCTTGGTCCTGCAGGAGAAATGCTGTTTCTACGCCAACAAATCAGGAATTGTCCGCAATAAAATCCGACAGTTACAAGATGACCTGGAAAGAAGACGCCAGGAGCTAGCTGAAAATCCACTCTGGACTGGTCTCAATGGACTCTTACCTTACCTTCTTCCCCTCATGGTTCCCCTATTAACCCTTTTGATATTGGTTGTGGGGGGGGGGGGCCTTACATTTTTAACAGAATAATCTCCTTTGTAAGACAACAGATTCAGGCCCTTCAGGCAAAACCCATTCAGGTACATTACCATAAGTTGGAGATGCGAGATAAGGGAGGCTCTTACTCAGACTTACACTCAGTCTGAAGAAATAAGACTCCCTTCCCCTGTGCGATGGACTGGTCAGCCAATGACGGGTAAGATCGGGGGCAGACTCAAAATGGCTTGAGGTGCTAAATCGCCACACGTCTGTGACTCCTGACGACCTAAGACAGGCGCAGTCCCCGAGGGTTTTTGGCGCAGTCCCCGAGGGTTTTTGTCTTTTCGCTCTCTCATTAGAAATAATAGAAAAGGAGGCTCTGTCGGGGCCCAGACCTGAGGCCCAGACCTGAACATCCGGGTTCTTGCCTGAAGCAGGTACTGAATGTTAGCTCAAGTGAAGGTTTCAAGTTTCCTATTGTGACGACTGATCCTTTCCCCCTGCTTGCTACTGTGGCTTGTTTGCATTGGTGGTCTCTCCTTGCTAGAGATAATGAGAGACCTCCTCCTCTGAACCCTATATAACATTGTACACATTCCTGAATAAATGAGACTGGCGATGATCCTGGCTTTGTCTCCACTCCTCGCGTACCCCTGTCCCATACCAAGCCCCTGCTTCCTCCCCCGGGTACCCCGTTGATCTGCCCGGCTGGCCCGGACACCTTATTTAAGTTTTCTAGATTCCTGCTATGAGTGAGACCATCCAGTATTTTTCTTTTTCTTTCTGGCTTATTTCGCTGAGCATGATCCCTTCCAGTGCCATCCATGTTGCTGCAAATTGCATGTGTTTATCTTTTTTGAATGCTGAGTAATATTCCATGGTGTATATGTACCACATCTTCTTGAGCCAGTCATCTATTTTTGGGCATTTGGGTTGTTTCCAAAGCTTAGCTATTGTAAACAGTGCTGCTATAAACATAGGGGTGCAGGTGTTCTTTGGAATTGATGTTTCTGTGTCCTTTGGGTAGATACCTAGGAGTGGAATTGCTGGATCATATGGAAGCTCTATGTTTAGTAGGTCCAGAAATCTCCACACAGCTCTCCATAGTGGTTGGACCAGTTTGCACTCCCACCAACAGTGCAGGAGAGTTCCTTTTTCTCCACAGCCTCACCAACATTTGTTGTTGCTAGTTTTTTTAATATGTGCCATTCTCACTGGTGTAAGATGGTATCTCATGGTAGTTTTGATTTGCATTTCCATTAGTTAGGCTTTGCTTTATGAAGTGTTGAGATATGTGGGGCTTTCTTAGAAGAGGAGATGCATTTGAGACAAGCACAGGACAGAAACAAAGAATTCACAGGCATCATTTTCATGGGCATATGTTAATTTCCAGACAATGTAACATACTTACCATAAATTTGTTATCTTTGTAAAGCATAATTTGTGCATGAGAGAGGGAAGAACATAGGAGATAAAATATTTTATCATGAGGAAATGTGTTTGGTCACACATCTGCTGGCCACCCCAAGGAAAGGTCCAGGCTTCCAGAGAGCGATTCCTGTTGAGCTATGTAAGTCGACAGGACAGACCATTGGATACCTTCACAGCATTTCTCTTTGATGTGCTGCCTTCTGCTTCTGTGAGTCCTTTTCCTTTGCCCAAGACTTAATTTTCATATTGGCTATACAAACAATAAATCAAACTTAAAAGATACATGGAAAAAGAGCAAGAATCATGATAAACTTTCCCACATAGTGCCACAGAGGGACAAAATGGTAAAACAGAAAAATGTAATACAAACACTGCTAAAACATTACGTTTGTAGAAGAAGAAGGGAAAAAGACCTCTGATGAAATTGCCCCACCCCATCTTGCTGCCCTCCAGTATACTGTCTCTGCAATTGGAAAAAAGAATCAGAATGACTTGGAGAAGAGAATTAAAATGATCTCAAGATGGAGAGGTTATTGATGTAATTGCCAAACAAAATGCAGAGCCTTATGGGGATGGGGACACATAAAAAATAAAAGTTACCATTCACCCAATGATGTGAATACCATATGCATGTGCTGGGTGCCTTAGTACTTTATTTAAATTTCAATACAATACTATGTTATGAAGTAGGTTTTATAGCAGAGATGGACAACTTTTTACCAAAACTTGCTGTCTTTCTTTTGAGCTCACAGCCACTGTGTATTTCCCAGACTCCCTATCAGTTAGCTCTTACCACAGTTAGCTCTTACAACACTGTCAAAAAGAAACAAAACACTAAGACCAAACATTGAGATCTGAGTGGAAGAGAAAACACACAGAAATCACTGCATTCTTAGTAGAAGTCAAGTTTTCCCTAGCACTTGATTTTGAAAAAGAATAAGCTTTACAGGACACCTACTTGGCACACACAACACAGATTAGATGCTCTTCAAGTGGGTGCATGGAAAATAGACATGGACAAAGAGGAAGGAAATTGTGGTTTTGATTTGCATTTCCCTATGAAATGACATTGACCATCTTTTCTGTGCTTATTGGCTATTTGCCCATCTTCTTTGGAGAAATGTTTATCAAAGCCTTTGTTTATCTTTAAACTGGGTCATTTTTCTTTTTATAAGTGAGTTACAATAATTTAAAAAGTATATTCTGGATATACTAGACATATGATTTAAAGATATTTTCTCCCATTCTGTGCATAGCCTTTTAACTTAGTAGTATCCTACCAAGCACAAAAGCTTTTAATTTTAATGAAATCCAAGATATCCTTTATTTCTTTTTTCATTTATGACTTTGATTTTGAATCAAAGAATCCATTGCCGAACTGATGATCACGAAGATTTACTCCTATGTGTCCTTCTAAAAGTTTTATAGTTTTACACTTTACATTTAGGTCTGGTGCATCTTGAGTTAATTTCTGTTTATGGTGTGAGATGGAGTCTTACTTTGTTCTTTCTCAGGTGAATATTCAGTTGTCTTTTCCCTATTTGTTGAAAAAACTATTCTTCCTCCATGTCCTTGTCTTGGCAAACCTGTTGAAAGTAATTTGACCCTAAATGAAAGAGTTTATTTATGACTTTCAACTCTATTCCATTGATCTATGAGTTGTTACAATGAAAACAAAGACTTGAAAATTCTCTGAGTTGATAAAATCAGTTTAGTCATACAAGCAAAGTTTAATTCACCTTAGACTAACTTGACCTGGACAATTTTTTGTTTATATCCCCAGAGATCACAAGTAAAACTTAAACTGTTTCAAAGGTTGATATGAAGTAACTACAGATCAATTTCCTATAATTTCAGAAAATTTTAGTGTAATAATCACTGTGAAAAATAAGCAGCCCTTGCCTGCTAAGGTCCTTTATAGCAATATTCATGGGAGTTCTGTCCCATGTTTTGATTTCAGTGCTCCTGGTTTGCACACTGCCTTTCTCATATGTGTGCAACAAACTTTTACTTATTATTACCTTGATGATTCATGGGTTTTACTTCGGCTGTTTCTGAACTTTCGATAATGTTTATCCTTGCGACTTCCAGTATAAGTGAGTGATTTGGAACTCTACTCAAAACCAGTATGGACTTGCAGCAGTAATTGCTCTTACCTGATTCTTACACTTTTTTTTTTTTTTTGGCAACCCATGGTTACTGTTTAATTCCACAGCAGACTTTTCAAAAGTGATCAATGATAACTCTTCTTAAAAATTAAAGTGTATTAAAATGAATTGTTTTGAGATGGAGCTAAAAATAAACTCAATGCCTCCTGAGGTGTGATACTATTTGAACAAGAAATAACTGGCCCGATTCACTCCCTCCATTGTTGGTTAGAGCATCTCTCACCTTCTTAGGGATGGGCACTCTCAGAGATGATGATTCATAAACTGGGGCGGGGAGGGGGGGCAAGATTTTCATTCTTACTAGCTGCTTTCTCTTCTGAGTAAATGTTGCGATGTTTCTACAAGTCACAGAAAATCCTATAGTCTGGAATTTTCGACCACCCTCCCAGAACTCAGTTTGCTTATTACCAAAGACGAGGAGCAGCTTTGCCAGAGGGCTCTCCGCGGAGCCAACCAACCTCGGAACACTGCTTAGGTCTTCAGCAACGCCAAGGTGCTGCTCGCCCCACGCCGCCGCGCCTAGGGCGGCACAGCCTGGCTTGCGGGTCTTTGCGCACAGTTCAGGCTCGGAGATCTGCGTCCTTAGCCTTCCCTCGCGCCTTCTCTCCACGCACCCCTGCCAGCCTTGCTCAGATCTGAGCATCACCAACCCAAAGTCGCGCTTGTCCCCTCTTCTGCGCTGGCAGCATCCATCCTCGGGGCTGCCTTTTACCCGGAGGCGGGGTCCGAGTGCCAAGTCCCCGCGCCGGGATGCCTGTCCCCTGCAGCGGCAGCCCGCGCGGGGCTGCGCCGAGGCTCGGGCCGCCGCAGGGCGCTAAGGGGGCGCGGGGACCCGGGTGCCGGCGGCGGCTGGGGAGCGCGCACGGGCGGCGCCGGGCCGGGGCCGGCTGGGCTGGGTGTGGTGGGGCGGAGGCGGAGCGGCGGTGGCCGCACCCTCTCGTCGGTTCAGCGCGCGGGTTGCGACCGGGGTGAGGGGATCCGGGCGCCGACGCAGACCCGGGAGGACCCGGCGGCTGGCGCGGGGCACAGGGTGCGCGCGCGCCACTTTCCTGGAAAGCGCCGCTGCAGCAGCCATGCCCTCCCTGTGGAGAGAAATCCTCCTGGAGACCCTCCTGGGTAAGCTGAGGCCGCCCGCGCCGCGCGCTCTCGGGTGCCTGGGGCCGGTGGCCCTGCCCGGAGCCGCGGCGCTCGGCCGGATCGGCCTGGCGTGCTGAGCTCTGGGAGGTAGAAAAGCGCCATCAGCGCCCAGAATAGAGATGCTTATCGCCTCTTGGGACCTTTTGCTACCGAAGGTAAAAAGAAAAGACCTAGATTGAGGTTCCGCAGCTCAGGAGTCAGCCGGGCGCCTGCAGGAGGGGGTGCCGCGGGAGCCCCCACTCCGCATTGGGGTGCGCTCGAGGGGCGCGAGTTCTCCACGTGACGGCTGCGGACTCGCGCGGCCACACCGCCCTCGAGCCCCCTCACTCCCGTGATCTTTACGTTTAACTTAGTAAAATTCAGTACTGAAATTTAACTTCAGAAGGAGAGGAGCGCCGTCTTCTCCGGGTGCAGGTGCGCTCGCTGTGCTGGAGCTGCCACCCCCGGCCTTGGCGGGGCACAGGTGGTTTTGGGGATGTTTGCCCTTTTGGGCTTTTGACGGAAAGCTTTAAACTCGAGTCCTTTATGCTCGCTCAGCAGCTTTATTTATTTATTTTAAGATTTATTTATTTAGGGCCTCCCCGGTGGCGCAGCGGTTGAGCGCTGGGTTGCGAAGCTGCCCGCGGCCTCTGCGGCGCCGGTTCGATCCCTGGCTGCTCCCCGGCCACAGGAGGAGGGTCCCACATGGCGCGCAGACCTCTCCTGCCGCCCGCTGCTCCCCTCAGCAGTGCACTTCTGTCCTTCTGCCTGCTCTGCTCCCTGCTCTGGCTCTGGTGAATTCTCTCATCCTCCCGCGCTTCTGACTGTACCCAGTGCTTGTATAAACAAACAAACAAATAAATTAATAAATAAATAAATCATGCCTCTATTAAAAAAAAATATTTATTTATGCATACAAGAACTGGGGTGCAGGCCAGAGATGCGGGGGGTGAGAGGATTCACCAGAGACAGAGCGGGGAACAGAACAGGTAGATTGACCGAAGTACACTGCTGAGGGGAGCAGTAGGCGAGATAGGAGAGGTCTGCCTCGTCATGTGTGTTGGTCCCTGGCCAGCCGGCCGGCCGGGGATCGAACTCATGCTGCCGAGGCTTTGGCATGCTTCATAGTGAGGTGCTTTAACCCCTTGCACCACCAGGGAGGCCCGTTGCTCAGCTGCTTTAGAAAAACGTCCAAGACCAATTGTTGGTGTCAGTGGGAGCTGTACGATGAAAACGTACACACAAATGTTTGGGAGGATTGCTAGACTCTCGTGGTTTATTAGGAACGAGCGTGGAAGGGGCATCTCTGTGAACAATATATTTTCTGGAAGTTGACAATGCTCAGGAGGTCCCATTTTCCTGGCTCAGCCTCTGTAAAATTACATACATTCAGCAAGTACCCAGGATGCCAGGTTCTCCGTGTGCTTGATGTCATGTACTCCAAACAACTCTGTAAAGTGATTTTTGCTGATTGAGAACAGGAGACTGAGAAATAACTTGGGTGGAAGTTACTAAACTTAGTGGAACCACTCTACCTGGGTTTAAGTTAATTCTACCTTTATGACCATAGACAATGACTTCACTTTCTGAGTCTATTCTTGGGAATTTTCCTTGTTTGCTCCTTGTCTTGTTCCTTTTTTGCATTTTTTAAAAAGATTTATTTGTTTATTTATGCATACTAGAACTGGGATATAGGCCAGAGGTGCAGGGGTGGGGGTGGGGTGACAGGCTTCACCAGAGACAGAGTGGGGAACAGAACAGGCAGACTGGCTGAAATACACTGTAGAGGGGAGCAGCGGGCAAAACAGGAGAGGTCTGCTACACCATTGGTTAGCTCCCTGGCTGGCCAGGCATCAAACTTGTGCTGCAGAGGCTGTGGACAGCTTCACAGTGCTGTGCTTAACCCCTTGCACCACCAAGGAGGCCCTTTTCGCATTTTTAAGAGAGGAGTAGAAATACGGTCAGCCTCCTAGGACCTGGGATTCTATGTATGAGGAATAAGAGATGATCCCCATACTTAACATAGAGCTTAATATTGGCAAGTGCCCATTAGTGTTAATTATCATTATTGTAGAAGATTACACAGTAGTTGGTAGAGGTGAAACTAACTTCAGATGTGGGTATTCTATTACCATCCCACACATCCACCCCAGCATGCACACACTGCCTTCTAGGGTTGTTCTTAAAACAGTGTACTCAGAAGAAAATGTTGGCTAACTAACCTGCCTGTGGCTATAGTATGGCCGGAGAGGAATTTTACCAATCAGGCTTCCTCCCAGGAAGCCCCAGTCAACCTAGATGGTCCCAATGAAGAGGCTTTATTTAGTAAAAGGACTCCTATTCCTCCAGGGTTATGAATAAGGTAAAGGGTGAAACAAAGGATTGGGAGGAAGTTGCAAAGCAGGAAGCCATTCTCAGCCTGGGCCTGACCCAGAAGGAAGTAGTTCTGTCTGGGGGCCCAGGTAAGGCCAGAGTTGGGAGAAGGTGGCCCTTGGCCTGGAGGCATAGGCTCACTGTTTGAAGCAAAGATGAAACTGACACTTTGTCTCTCTTAAAATGTTTATTTTTTCTCCCTTAGGGTATGTTTCTTTGTCTCTCTGCCATGGCCTGGGACCAATGATCTACTACTTTCCTCTGCAAACTCTGGAGCTCACTGGGCTTGAAGTTTTCGGTGTAGCATTTCTTTCTCCCATCTTCCTAACAGTCACTCCTTTCTGGAAACTGGTGAACAAGAAGTGGATGCTCACCCTGCTGCGGATCATAACTGTTGGTGAGATTTGAAAGTGTTTTTTTCTTTTCTTTTAAGATTTACTTATTTGGGCATACAAGAGCTGGGGTGTAGACCAGAGGTGTGGGGTTTATGTGTGAGAGGATTCACCAGGCACAGAGTGGAGAGCAGAACTGGGGAACCTACTGAAATGCACTGCTGAGGGGAGCAGTGGGAGAGACAGGAGAGGTCTCCTGTGCCTTGTGGGTCAGCTCCCTGGCTGGGGATGGAACTCCTGCTGCAGTGGCTGGTGATAGCTCTGCTGAGACTTAACCCCTTTCACCACAAGTGACGCCCCATTGAAAGTGTTTCTTGAAGATTTTTTTTTTCCAGTTAAAAATCAAGTGAAATTTTGTAGACTTTTTTTTTTTGAATGCTAACTGATTGAATATAAAAAAAAAATTCTCTTTCTCCTACTACTATCTTAGGAGAGTTTTGTAAAATTGAAAGGATAGGGCCTCCCAGGTGGCGCAGCGGTTGAGTGCTGGGTTGCAAAGCTGCCCGGTCCGGCCACGCAGACCTCTCTGTTCCCCGCTCTGGCTCTGGTGAATTCTCTCACCCTCCCTCCGCGCGCTTCTGACTGTACCCAGTGTTTGTATGAATAAATAAATAAATAAATCTTTAAAGTAAAATAAAATAAAATAAAATTGGAAGGATAGACTGAGAGTCAGTGTATTTTAAATTTCTATCTTTTCTGCCAGATTGAAAAAACCTGAAATCACTGAAATGAGGAGGTAAAGGATAATATGGAGAAAATGTCATCTCTTTAACATATTGTGTCCTTTTTCCCCCTCCATGATATAAAACTAAAAAACATTAAAAATGGTTTTATACATAAATATGTAAAAAATGGAAAAGTAGACATGACAAATGCTACAAATAACAAACTAGAAAATTCATTTGCAATTCTTTTAGTCCAAGAGCTAATTTCCCTGATACATGGTTTTTTACAAATGAATAGTTTGAATAAGACTAACCACTCAGTAGCAAAGGGGGCAAATGTTATGATCCACTTACTAGAAAGGAAATATAATTATTTCTTAAAATATATGCAAAAGTGCATAAAATTCAAATTATACATACATCTATTTATATATTGTTTCACGGCAGATTGGCAAAGCACTATTGTGAGGGTGAAAGTGCAGGCACTCATATATTCCTGGTGCAGATATAAAGAGGCACAATGTCTGCTGAGAATATTTTTTTTTTTTAAAGAGGCACGTATTTTATTTATTTATTTGTTTGTTTGTTTATACAAGCACTGGGTACAGTCAGAAGCGCAGGACGGTGAGAGAATTCACCAGAGCCAGAGCAGGGAGCAGAGCAGGCAGAAGGACCGAAGTACACTGCTGAGGGGAGCAGCGGGCAGCTGGAGAGTGTGCGCCATGCAGGACCCTCCTCCAGTGGCTGGGGAGCAGCCGGGGATTGAACCGGCGCTGCAGAGGCCGAGGGGAACTTCGCAACCCAGCGCTCAACCGCTGTGCCACCGGGGAGGCCCCTGCTGAGAATATTTTTTATCAAAATTGCAAATGTATACATAACCTTTCACCAAGCAATTCCACATCTAGGAGTGTGTCTTACAGATATGCCCACATGTGTGTAAAATGTTAAAAATATAAAGTTATGTAAGCATTGTAGCAATACTGGAATGTCTTGTTTTATTGTACTTCACTTTGTTGAACTTCAGGCATATTGCATTTTTCACAAATCCTACATCCATCAAGACTTTAAGAGCCATTTTTCCAAGAGTAGGTGCTCATTCTTGTCTGTGTCACATTTGGTAATTTTTACAATATTTCAAACGTCTTCATCATTATTATATCTGTTATGATGATCTGTGATCTTTGTTAGTACTATTGTCATTGTTTTGAAGCGCCACAAACCACATCCACATAGAGTGCGCTTCATCTATGCAGTGTGTGTGCTTTGACTACAATACTGACCAGCTGTTCTCCACCTCTGTCCCTCTCCTCTCACCTCCCTATTCCCCAAGACACAATATTCAGCCAGTTCATAGTCATATAATGACCTCTAAATGCTCAAGTGAAAGGAAGAGCCCTACATCTCTTACTTTATTTATTTTTTAAAGATTTATTTATTTATTTATACAAGCACTGGGTACAGTCAGAAGCACGGGAGGGTGAGAGAATTCACCAGAGCAGAGAGCAGAACAGGCAGACAGACGAAGTACACTGCTGAGGGGAGCAGTGGGCGGCAGGAGAGGTCTGTGCGCCATGGGACCCTCGCAGGTGGCCGGGGATCGAACCGGCGCTGCAGAGGCTGCGGGCAGCTTCGCAACCCAGCGCTCAACTGCTGCACCACCAAGGGGCCATACATCTCAAAAGTTAGAAATGCTTAAGCTTAGTAAGGAAAGCATGTCACAATCTGAGACAGGATGAAAGCTGGGCCTCTTGAACCAGCTAACCAAGTTGTGAATATCAAGGAAAAGTTATTGAAGGAAATTGAAAGTGCTACCCCAATGAACACATGAATAAGAAAGTCAAACAGCCTTATTGTTGATATGGAAAAGTTTCAGTGATCTGGATAGAAGATCAAACCAGCCACAACATTGCCTGCAAGGAGCTGTAGAAGAAGAGTTTGAAGTTAGCAGAGCAGTTAGCAGGAACAACACACCAATTCCTGCGTGTTTGAGTCTGTAACTGAAAATTTGGTGATCTTGCCCTTCTGCTGTAATGCATTGGTTCCTCTGAGTTTTCTGAATGACATTTGTTCATGAACCATACTGTATATTTCTTCTGTCTGGAAACAGTCATTTGACTTTCTTCAGAAACAGTGACAGGAATGACTAGGAAATTGCCTTCTGCTTTTCTGTGTGTCTGTCTCTGAAGAAGACAGAACATGGTGAATGCAAAGAACTCTGTGGCTCCCACAAGGATATAGAGCTCTGGTTTTTAAAAAGCTGGGTTCAGAAAGAACAGCGGCGTATGCCGCTGAAAATGCACCCTTTACACAGATGGAATCCATAAGGATGGAAAGATATATTCAGTGATCACGAAATTTTCTGCTCGAGAATGAATAGAAATGATGCTAGCTCCAACTGCTGTTGGCTTGCATTACCCATCTATGAATTACTATGGCTTGGGCATTGCATTTTCCCATCATACTCCCCATTTGGCTTTTGAGGAAGTGATGTCATCAGTGGCACATTTTTGTTGCCTTTGTTCAGCATCACCTGTGCTATGCCATCAAATTTATAGTGTCACCAACTGAGCAGTTAGTGGCACAGTCATCTGGCTCAGCAACTTCTGGTGGCTGTAAAGGAATGTGATATTAACGACATTTGGGGTGGATGTAGCATTTGGGATACCTCTTTTTACTCCCCTTTCACCTTCTTCCTCTGTGAAAACCCTCTTTTTTGGGCAGAGATGGAACTATGTTTGAGAAAGGGGAATAGGTGGGAAAGTGACACAGAGTTGAGGGTAAAGAGGCCAGAATTGAGAATGAAGAAGCCAGTTTCTGCCAAACACTTTTTCAAGTGACCATGAGTTTTGCTGATGCTAAACAGAGGTTGAAATAAGTCATGCTTTGCCTTTAAACTCCCTTCTGATGCTTCTTAAGGGATGGAACAGCTTGGTTTTTCAAATGTCCTGAGGCATTCTTACATAACTACAGAGATCTGTGTATTACATGCTATCTCACCTCTGGCACCTCAGATATTTAGGTTAATGAACCATTAAACTAGTTCATACTCCCATTGATTTAGTTGACCTTAAAGACTTTGACCCAGTAAAACTGTTACTCTCAAAAGATAGACATTAACAAGTGTTGTGAGGATATGGAGAAACTGGAGTCCTCAGACCTTACTGTGGGAATGTAAAATGGTGTGACCACTTTGGAAAATAGTTTGGCAGTTACTCACGTTTTTGAACAGTTATCACATGATGTAACAACTCTACTCCTTGGTATATGCACACCCCCCCAAAAAATGAAAATATACATTCACACAAGGCCTCAGGCACAAGTGTCCATAGCAGCATTTTTCATAATAGTAAAAAAAATAGAAACAACCCAAATGCCCATCAACTGATGTGTAGATAAACAAAATGTGGTAGATCCAGGAAATGAAATATTTTTAACCATAAATAGGAATGAAGTACTGATACATGATATACATGCATATACATGATACTATACCATGATGAACCTAGAAAATATGATATAAGTGAAAGAAACTAGTCACAGAAGACCATATGCTGCATGATTCCATTTCTATGAATGTCCAGAATAGGAAAAATCTAGAGACAGAGAGTAGATCATTGATTGCCAAGGCATGGGCAGAGAGGAGGAATGGCTAATGGGTATGGGTTTCTTCTTGGGGTGATGAAAATATTCTGGAATTAGTGGTAATAGTTGCACAACTTTGTGAATATATTAAAACTCTTTGAATGATATGCTTTAACATGGTGAATTTTAGGTTATAAATGATATCAATGAAAAATTTAAAAATGATTTATATACACACAATTACTGTATTTTTAACTCTGTCATCCTGAGTTTAAACTCGGAAACAGAAACAGCCTTTGTCAAATGCAGATCATTGAGTACCAATGCATGATTACCAGAAATGCTTAGTTCTCCTTATTTTTTTGCAGGTGGCATAGCCTCCTTTCAGGCTCGAAGTGCCGAACTTCGGCTAGTGGTCCTTGCGTTTGGTGTGTCTTCCTCGCTGATAGTACAAGCTGTGACATGGTGGACAGGAAGTGGGTTACAAAGGTATGCCTCATAGCTTATGCACCTATACACAAACAAGTTTAATCAGTTATGAAAGGGGAAGTTGAGATCAAGAGTTCCAAGTTATGATATTCATCTTACATCTGGCTTTCTAGAAGTCTCCACCTCCATTTTTCCCCCACACCTCTTCACAAAACCAGGATGTGAATCCTTGCTGTTTTAATCATGTTTTGAGAATTAAGAAATTATAACAAGTTGTTTAGGTAAGGGTTATAGAAAGGCTACGTCATGCCCATTACTGCGAATTACCAGCAAGACTCTTTCATACACTCACTCATTCGGTCAAGCTGGGAAATTCACGATGTGGACACAGTACATTGAAACCCCATAAGAAGGCTTTAAAAGTACTTTTGTACTTACAGATACCTCAGAATCTGGGGATTCATTTTAGGACAGATTCTTCTTGTTGTTCTCCGGATATGGTACACGTCACTAAACCCAATCTGGAGTTATCAGATGTCCAACAGAGTGATACTGACCTTAAGTGCCATTGCTACACTTGATCGCATTTGCACAGGTAAGTGTATGTTCACTTTCTTTAGGGATTTTCTCGAATAGTTTATCTTATCAGAATGTAGGACATATTAAAAAGATAAAAAGTCTTTTTGTACTACACCTCCATTTCAATCTGTTTTCCCCTCCGAAGCAGTAACCATTCACATGCAGTCAGTGGACTGTTATCCAAACAGAAGGCACCTTTTCCTTGCCAGTACAGAGGGTGAGAAAAAAGGGGACATCTCTGGCTTGTATCACTGAGGAGGGGTAGAGGAAGACCAGGCCACATCTGCCCAGCTGGCTTTCTACTCTGTCCTCCTCCTCCTTTGCTCTGGACAGGCCTTCCAGGGTGGGATCCTTCATCCCTCTACCTCTGCATGACCTCAGGATATCACTAACACGGTGGGAAGTTATTTGTGAGCTAGGGCTTGGAAACTAACTGGGTTCCCCAATCCCCAATCCTGCACCGACTCTAGGTGTCTGAAAATACTTAAACCCCAAATCTGAAACTTGAGAAGAAAGGAAAGCTTGCCTATTCACACCCTCTTCTAATTCACCTGCCGCTCTCTAGAGCTGACTTTCTCCCAGGCACACACCCAGCTTGGATGTTCGCTTCATGGGCTAACTCCGGATCCTTCTGAAAAAAAGGGAGAAGGTTACAAGAGTCTAATTAACTTGCTCCTGGCTTATTGTGTGGCTTTCAGTGAGTCACTGTTCTTTTGTAAATGCAAGGGGAAATCTCACAGGTTAATGGAAGTGTAGAGGGTTTTGGCTGTCTGTGAACAAAGTGCTTGTACAATCTCCCTCTGGCCCCAATTGGCGTGAAACCAGGGTAGTGAGAATAAGGGGAAATCATGCAAATAAGTTCGTCAAGTGACATGATTCTTTGTTAGAGCCTATAGAACTCTGTTAGTGCCCCAGTCTATGTTTTATGTTTTTGAAAACACCAACATTTAGAGGTGGAAACTCAGGCAGCAATTTTCACAGGTACAGCCTGATAAGGATCTAAACTTCAGGGTATCATTTACTTTTCCTGACTAGAGTTTTGTTCTTTCTCGCCTCTGTTTTAAATTTATATGACCCAATTGTCAGTGCCTTTCTGTTCTGGGCCTGTGTCCTGTTCTGGGCCTGTGTCCTCATTGACAAAATACAAGACTCCTCACCAGCTTCCCCCTGGATATCTGGTCATACCAGGAAATTTTTGTAGTTTTATTGAAAATTTTCTGGATCTTGAGGGAGGCGTCACTGCCATAGTACACAGCTTACAAGTCAGCAAGTGCAGTTTAGGGAACTGTCTTTTCTAAAGGCTGTCTGCTTAGCCTCTAGGCCCTGACCTCCTCTACCTTCACTACCTTCTCCCTCATCCCCATTATTTTCAGCTTTATTCCTCCGTCCTCTGACTCCTTTATTGGCAGACTGACTATCCTCCTCTCTGTGAACTAGGGTGCCAGCCCTACAGGCAGAACCCAGCTTCCTCTTATCCTGCAGAGGGTCTTCCCAGTGTCACAAATCTTATGCCCACAGGCTCTCCATTCCTACAAAAAATTCTCCTGCCTGTATTTTCTCTGCTTATAACGTTTTTCTGTGTAAAATCATGGATGTAATGACTTGAAACCTCTTGGTGCAATAATCCCATGAAGCATAACAGTTAAATATACTGGTGCTATAGTAGACTGACTGAGCTCCAACTCCAGTTTTTCTTTACCAGCTGTATGATCTTGGCCAAGTTACATGTTCTCTCTTGGCCTCAGTTTTTTTTTTTTTTTTTTTTTTATAGAGGCATGTTTTATTTATTTATTTGTTTGTTTGTTTGTTTGTTTGTTTTGTTTATGCATGCACTGGGTACAGTCAGAAGCGCGGGAGGGTGAGAGAATTCACCAGAGCCAGAGCGGGGAGCAGAGCAGGCAGAAGGACCGAAGCACACTGCTGAGGGGAGCAGCGGGCGGCAGGAGAGGTCTGCGCGCCATGTGGGACCCTCCTCTGGTGGCCGGGGAGCAGCCGGGGATCGAACCGGCGCCGCAGAGGCCGCGGGCAGCTTCGCAACCCAACGTTCAACCGCTGCGCCACCGGGGAGGCCCTTGGCCTCAGTTTTAATCTATAAAATTGGATTAATAATAGACAGACCTCCTAGAGTTGTGAAGATAACTGCTCGGTGAATGCACTCTTGTTACCTTAGGGACACAGGGTTCCATGAGAGCCCTGTTCCTTTGGGGGGAAGCAGCCTGGTGTCCCGGGAATGTTCCATTCAAGTTGAACTGCATTTGTTCCCTGAACAAACCATTTGTGTTGCCTACATATATTTTTGCCTATACCATTGATTTCACATGAAGTAAATAACTTTCTACATTTTTGCTTGTCAAATTCCCGAATGTCCTGTTTTCCCTAAACCTTTCCTGATCTAGCCCCCTTGAAATATTCCCTCCCACCAACTAACTCTCAATATTTTCTCCTTTGAATTGTGGTTGCCTGTGTCATCATCCCCTTCTAAAGCTCAAAGTCAGCTACCATTTGTTACTTGCCTAAAGTCTGTTATATATGGAGGGTAAATTTCTATGTAACTGACCCTTTTCCGTTATTATTCCAGATGGTGAGTGCAGTAAACCTGAGGGGAAAAAGACTGGTGACACCGCCAAAAGGAAGGCTGCTAGACCAAACTGGCTGTTGGTAGGAGCTGCCTTTGGCAATCTTATGTTCCTCACCCACTGGATTTTTGGAGAGGTATCTCTTGTTTCCAGATGGGCAGTGAGTGGGCATCCCCACCCAGGACCAGATCCTAATCCATTTGGGTGAGTTTGGGTTTGGAAGCTGTCAAGAAATTGACTAATACGGTTGGAGGAAAAATATCGCCTTTGTCCAGCCGGTAGATCTGTGCTAGCCTGTTATTTCATATTCCACTAGCCCTAGATATCAGTAACATTGCATGAAATTATTGTGTTCCATGCAGATGAAGAAGCTAGAAGCATATTTACTCCAGTGCAGAATTGGTAAAAAGTAGACAAGGGAGGACTGAGTTTCGTGCACAGTTTGTGAGGTTCCAGGAGTTCCTACAAGTGCACTCTCAGAAATCCTCATGTGGAAAACCATTGCAAGTGGCACAGAAGTCATGGCCTTCCCACGTCATTTTCTCCAGCCCCCCCCCCCTTAGAGTTATGGACATTTGAAAGAATGACCTGAGACTGTCTTGATGAGAGCGACTGGGATGGCAGCCTGGGCATAGATCTCTATTTTCATCAAAGGAGAGAGTCGAGGGAGGTCTCTGAATCCTCTGATACTTTGGGAGTTGCTCCAACCACGGGACACCCATGGAGTTAACAATCTTGGCTTTAAGGATCCTTGTGCTTGGTCCTCACTCTACTCTTCCTGCTACCTCTTTTCTTGCATGCAAAAATAATGAGGAAACCTTGAAACATCACCTCAGATATTTGTATTTCTCTTAAAGAGCTAAAATTCCTACGTCTGGAAACATGTAGCTACCTTCAGGGTCTTTCCTCAATACATGTCCGGGCATATCCCCCAGGTGTCTCAGCCTCAGCATGTCCAAGTCTGGACTACCAGTCCCCAGATATATTCTTTCTCCATGCCATGGTTCACTCTGCCTATCCACTCCATCACCCAAGCCAGAAATCAAGCGTCATTCTAGAATTTGTGTCTTCTTCAATTTGGGCATCTTATTGGCCATTCAAGCCAGTCAGTTCTGTTACTTCTCTAAAATGGATCTCTTTCTCTGTTGTCTCAGCCACATCTGCCTTAGTGGAGTCCTCACTCTCTGCATTCCAGGCTCTCACTATTTTCTCCTAAAGGTCTCTCTTCAGACCTTACAGACTTGTGAGGATTGAGTAAGTTAATAATACATGTAAAAACCTCAGCACAGTGCCTGGAAAGGTTGTGCTGCTTTTAGCTTCATTTATATATGACTGCTTACTTGAATGCATGTTGGAGCTAGAATTTCTTTGGAGGTATATAGTTAACTTGTATTTTCCTCCACTTCCAAGTTTTTTTTTTTTTTAAGATTTATTTATCTATGCATATAAGAGCTGGGGTACAGGCCAGAGGTGTGTGGGGGTGGTGGTGAGAGGATTCACCAAAGACAGAGCGGGGAACAGAACAGGCAGATCCACTGAAATACACTGCTGAGGGGAGCAGTGGGCGAGTCAGGAGAGGTCTGCTGCGCCATGTGGGTAGCTCCCTGGTTGGGATCGAACTCATGCTGCAGTGGCTGCAGATAGCTTCATAGTCTGGTCTACGGCCATACCACCCTGAACGCGCCCGATCTCGTCAGATAGCTTCATAGTCTGCATCTTAACACCTTGTGCCACCAGGGAGGCCGCCACTTCCAAGTTTTTGCCAAAGTAGCCAAAGAATGAAATAGTTTGTGGTTGTTTAAAAAAAAAAACGACACAAAATAATCAATTATTGATCAGATAGACACCAGTGCCAGGAAGGCAGACACTGTAGATAAAAACAGCTTTGAAGAAAAAAAAAGAAAGACAAGAGGTCAGTTAAAGTAGAAGCTATTTCCAATGACTTTTTCTTCTCCTTGGCCAGTTCATTTAAAATGTCACTTGGAGTCTATGGACTGTAATTTAATAGTCTGAGAAAGCTCAATTCCTGTCTATATTCACCATGAAAGACTACAAAAATCCAACCAAGTCAATGTCAAGATCAAATTGACATTATCAAATGATTCATGAATCAGGTGCATCCCACCTGGCAAGCAGAAGTGCGCTCCATGGGGCCACAGAAAGGGAAAGGTGTGCAAAAGTAACACCAGGAAGTCATTAATGAAAAGAAAATACTTTAGGCTACCTATGGGGAAGAGGTAATGCCTATGTGGCAGGTTACGTCATCTTCCTTTGGGGAATGGAAAAGATAACCAACCTCATTGGTTGGTTCCACACTGACCAGAAGGTTCCACACTGACCAGCTACGACTACATTCCTTGGGAAGGGGGGATTGAAACTATAGTCAAATTAGGTATTAAGTCTTGATAAACTTAGCATTAGCAAATCCATTTTGGGCCTATCATTTCTTTCTCCCCAGCAATTTCATTTTAGAGTTGCTATTACTTCCATTTTGTGAATGTATATAACTTTAGTTCTCAGTGGGCTCCCTTTATCTCATTGGTTATTTCACACTTACATCGTCTCTTGGAAGTACCTAGAAGTAGGAGATATATATTTCTGTTCTGTATTTGGGGTAACATATTAATAATGTCAGATGTCTTACAGCGCGTTCTCTTTTTACAGAGGTGCAATTCTGCTTGGCTTAGCAAGTGGACTAATGCTTTCAACTTGTTCATGGTTTCCTGCTTGCAGTTTAATCTGGTGGGTTACAGGTATGTGGAGTTTACCTGCAGATGTGCCAGTCATTCAGTGTGATTGTCCTATTTACTCACAAACATGTGTACCTACACTGGAAGCAGACGGCCAAGGCAGCTGTACAAATATTTGCTGTTACCAACTGAATTATTATAATCAGCTGCAGCAATGCAACTCAGTGGCTACCAGTGACTCCTGTACCTTCCTACTTCATTTTCTCTGTCCTTCTTTAGCTGTCTCCTTCTGTCCTATGTTGGCATATTCTTCCCCATCTCCCAAACAAGGCATGTGTGTCAGTGGTGATTTTATGGAAGGCCTGGGGAGAGGGAGGGTTATACAGCACCACGTTGCCAGATTTCTTCCCGTCTCCAAGATTCTTTGCCTCTCTGGTTTTCAAGAATGCCTTCCTTTGGAACTCCTAATGAAGCTCAATGTCCTTTTCTCTTTGACATGTAACAGTTTAAATGTAACCCTGTACCCAGCTTTGGGGTCCATGTTTGCTTATTCATGTCCTTTCAGTCATATCCTTTAGGGTCACAGAATACTGTTGAAGCCTGTCATAGCTCAAGAGCAATCTCCCTATTTTCCTATGACTGAATTAAGTCATTTTCTCCTTTCCTCTTAAAAGGTAAAAATGGTAAGAATCAATTACAGTGTTAAATTAAAAAAAAAAAATCCTCAACTCCTGCGACAGAATAAATACTGTTTGGTTTCTATGAGGAGAGATATCCTTATACATAATAATTAAGCAGGTGACTCAAAGTGTCATGCTAGTTGCTGTGTGTGGGTTTGTGGGACGATGTGTATTGATGATAGAAGATGTGGGTTGAACAGCATCATAAGGAATTTTTGCACACCCTACATGCCATCACCCTTGCATGGAGGCTGTTCAGTTAGTGGGGTCGGCCACATCCTCATCCTCCTAGGGCCATGTGAGTCAACTATTTTTTTTAAGATTGATTTTATTTATGCATGCAATAGCTGGGGTGTAGGCCAGAGATGTGGAGGGTGAGAGGACTCACCAGAGACAGAGTCGGGAGCAGAACAGGCAGACTGACTGAAATACACTGCTGAGGGGAGCAGCGGGCAAGACAGGAGAGATCTACTGTGCCATGTGGGTAGCTCCCTGGCTGGGGATCGAACCTAGGCTGCAGTGGCTGGCGATAGCTTGATAGTGCTGACACTTAACCGCTGTGCCACCAGGGAGGCCCTGAGTCAACTATTGAAATCACATTGCGCTCTGCTTGCTTGATAGTGTCTTTTCCATCCAACATTCACATGGGGTCTGTGGAAGTTGCGTGAATATAGGAGTGACCTTTCTTCTCATCAAAGAGATGCCTCATGAGATTCCTTGCAGCAGGATAACTTAGTTAATGCTGAGGTTATAGTTGGGATAAATTTGAAACAGTTTGTTTCAAATTTTTCAGAACACTGAAAGTTTATTCAGGATTTATATCATGCCCTTTCTCATGCAATATAAGCAAAATGCTTGCTGGCCAGGTAATTAGCAGTTTCATTTTAAACGTGGGAAAACTGAGGTCCACAGAAACATAAACTGTTAAAGGACAGAAAAGGAGTGAAATTACGATGTTACTCTTACACCTATTTTCCCAGGTAAGTAAGGTCATTGCCTTTAGAGTGAAATCTAATCTAGTTTTGCTGTCTATGTGAAGTGTTAAATAGTATTTTAATAGACCCCAGGGTCAAGCAGATTTAAGGCTTTAATAGGCTATTTGCAGTAGAGAGGAAAGCAGAGCCATAACTCAGAGCTTCCTTCCCTCTCCTGCTCACCTGAAGGAAGTTGGAGCTCATACTTCATTATCTAAATGTGGGGCCTGCTTGTCACTTTGATTTATCTCTGGAAACCATGTCACCAAGAAGAATGTAGAAAGAGTTTTTTTTTTATTGTACAGTTAGTTTGCAGTCTCAGCTGGGTCTCAGTATGAATTAATTTGGGCAGTGAGCAATAGAATTTCATAAATGCACATATAAACGAGCTTTAGGGGCCTCCATAGTGGTGCAAGGGGTTAAGTCTCGGCAGTATGAAGCTATCAGCAGTCACTGCAGCGTGGGTTTGATCACTGGGCAGGGAGCTAACCCATATGGTGCAGCAGACCTCTCCTGTCTCACCTACTGCTCCCCTCAGCAGTGTATTTCAGTTCAATCCACCTGTCCTGCTCCCCACTTTGTCTCTGGTGAATCCTCTCACCCTTTTCTCCCACATCTCTGACCTACATCCCAGCTGCTGTATGCATAAATAAAAATAAATCGTTAAAAATAAAAAGGAGCTTTACATTTTGATTACAGTTCAATTAGTAACACCAAGGTTGTATTTAAAAAGACCAGACTGTACTAAATCTGTTGATTGGATCCAAGTGTCCTATACTGTGTGATATAATTTTATTATATGAAAAATTTGATTTACTGAAATTAATGTTAGTTATTAGACCTATCATTGGTATATTCAATTACTGGTAAGTTTTCCTTGGTGTCTTAGATGAAGATTTGGGTGATATTATTTGCAAGGACTCTGTCTCAAACAAGCAAAATACAGTTATGATGGAACAGTTAAGGTAAAAAGTCATAGTGATAACAGTGTGTGTCATGTCACCACTGATATTCCAGAAGGGGGAAATGCATACATGTCGATATTGCTTTCTATGCATAGATTATACCTGGAAGGATGCAGACAAAAATGCTAACCTTGGTTGCCTTCACTAAAGGGACCTAGGGGGGTGATGGACTAGAGGGACTCTAATTTTAAAATTTTGGATTTTAAATGTATGACATTTTAAAATGTAATTTTAGTAAATTTTAAAATATATACCCTACTTAAAAAACAGGAACTAAATTACCACCACACTGTTGTGAGAATAGCCTGCATAAAAAAAAGACCAAAAACAAGTTTTGGCGAGAGTGTAGAGGAAAGGAAATTTTGTACACTGCTGGTAAGAATGTACATTGGCCCAGCCCCTCTGGAAAATAGTTTGGAATATTCTCAAAATTCAAAAATTGCTCTGCCTTATAATCTAGCAGTCCTACTCTGAGGTATCTACCTGAAAGATGCAAAAAGACTAATTTGAAGGACTACATGCATCCCTATGTTCATGGTAGCATTATTTACAATAGCCAAGTTATGGAAACAACCTAAGTGCCCAAGGACAGGTAAGTGGATTAAGATGTGGTATATATACACAGTGGCGTACTACTTGACTATTTAAAGATGATGAAATTTTGCCACTTGTGACAACATGGATGGGACTGCAGTGGGTTATGTTATGCAAAATAAGTCAGAAGGAGAAAGACAAATACCAGATTATTATACTCATATGTAGAATATGGACAAACAGAACAAAGGAACAGAAATATTAAACCAAAGCAAACCTTAGAAATCTGACTGTAGAACTCTGACTGTAGAGAGTGAGGAAGAAAAGAAGGGGGAGGGCCTCCCCAGTGGCGCAGCGGTTGAGCGCTGGGCTGCGAAACTGCCCGTGGCCTCTGCAGCACCGGTTCGATCCCTGGCTGCTCCCCGGCCATCAGAGGAGGGTCCCACATGGTGCGCAGACCTCTCCTGCCGCCCGCTGCTCCCCTCAGCAGTGTACTTCGGTCCTTCTGCCTGCTCTGCCCCCCGCTCTGGCTCTGGTGAATTCGCTCACCCTCCCGCACTTCTGACTGTACCCAGTGCATGTATAAACAAACAAACAAACAAATAAATAAATAAAAACATGCCTCTAGGAAAAAAAAAAAGAAAAAAAAAAGAAAAAAAAAAAGAAAAGAAGGGGGAAAGGGAGCTCAGTGTAATATGGTGGAGGATTATGGGTGCTCTGTTTGTGGATGTGGTGCTATAATCTGAAAAGGTGTGAATTTATTTATACCCCCAAATGATACACTATGTTGTAAGCCATAGTTACCTACTTAAAAATGATACGGTAAGAAATCAAAAATTAAAAGGAAGTAAAATAAAAATAGATACTAAATTAAAAATAAAAGCAATAAGTGAAATTTGAAGAGATATTTTCTTTCCCTCCAGAAACTTCTCTGTAGTAAGAGAGAAGCAATAAAGTCATTCTAATGTCTTTAGAGCAAAAATTCAGAGTAGGTCTCCTTTTAAAAACAGTCACTGGTTGGGCCTCCCTGGTTGCTCAAGGGGTTAAGGCTCAACCTATGAAACTGTCTGCCACCTCTGCTGCGTAAGTTCCATCCCCGGCCGTCCAGGGCGCTACCCATATGGCTCAGGAGACCTCTCCTGACTTGCCCGCTGCTCCCTTCAGCAGTGTACTTTGGTCAATCTGCCTGTTATGTTCCCCACTCTGTCTCTAGTGAATCCTCTCACCCCCCACACTTCTGGCCTGTACCCTAGCTCTTGTATGCATAAATATATAAATCTTTAAAAAAAAATAAAAATAGTCACTGACATCTAATAAACTGGAACAAATTTAATCTTTTAAATGAAATTCAAAACAGGTACTATTTTCATCATTCATTTCGAAAAGATTTTTGGAAGGAAATTATCTCCAGTAAGGTTCATAAGGTGAGACTTTTGGCAAGATTTTGAAGGAAATGAAGGCTTGGTTATATAACTTTTCAGGAAAGAAGTTGACCATGAATAATGAATCTTTAAAATGCTTTTATCTCTTGCTACAGTAGTTGTACTTCTAAGAATCTGTTTTAAGGAAGTAATCAGAGATGTATTAAGAGATTAATTGACGAAGAAATTCTTCCACTTATTGATGAAAGCTTTATAAATGGCCAACGAAAGGAAAATGGCAGCTTCTATTGTGGTGTATTTATCCACTGGATAAAACATAAAAATGTTTTAGAAAAAAACTTAATAACATGAGAAAATGTTCTTGATATTATGTCATGTGAAAAACAGAATATGATCTTCAGTATGTGGCATGATTCTATTTATATAAAAATACTCCTATTGTACATAAAGTCTTAGAAGAAATACGTAGGAGTATTGACAGTGCTTATCTCAGTCTTAGGCAATTCTTAATTGCTTCTTCAGTCCTGTATGTTCAATGTCTACATTAGTTTTATTAAAATGACTATTGTCAGATCTAAATATTTGAAGGTCACACTCTGAGCTAAGCTACTTGGATTATGGAGGACCCTAGAACGGGTTCTCTTGTCCATCTGATAGATGTTCTTCTTGAAATGGGGGGACTGGACAGTCCCATAGCATTGCTCTGTGATGGTATAAGTGGAATTCATGGATTATTGTGAGCTATTGGACACAAGAAGCTGACTGGGCCACTGCCTGCAACCCATGCCTCCATTTCTAGAGTTCTTTCGCTAAGCAAAGAGGAGTCTGCTGTAGATACCCTTAAGGACGGGTCAGCTATCCAGCGTTGATTGTAATGTCTAAGAAATATATTTGATGGAAAAATGTTATACTGATGTCTCCTGATACTTAGAATATCAGATGCTATGAGACTTGATGTGCTGTCTCTAAGTTGATTTTACAGGAATTGGGAGAAATGTTCCTTCAGAGTTGATTCAACAAATTAACAGACATTTGCTAAGTGCCTCCCATGGACCAGACCGATTGCACAGCACCCCCCTCCCTGACCCCTCCCCACCCCCCACACACACCACAAAGCTGTTGAAAACAAAAGAACTGATTACAGAATTGCTAAGACAATGAGACCAGTGATGTTATCTCAGTTACATCTTCTTTTGAGATTGAGGCTGCAAAAGTCCACTTCTATGTCCTAGAAACCACATTGACTCAACATGTTTACTATGTCCTACCTCCAACTGGAAAAATTAAATGACATAATTTTTTTTTAAGATTTATTTATTTATTTATACAAGCACTGGGTACAGTCAGAAAGGGGGGAGGGTGAGAGAATCTACCAGAACCAGAGCAGAGAGCAGAACAGGCAGACTGACAAAGTACACTGCTGAGGGGAGCAGTGGGCAGCAGGAGAGGTCTGTGAGCCATGTGGGACCCTCCTCGGGTGGCCAGGGAGCAGCCAGGGATCGAACTGGCGCTGCAGAGGCTGTGGGCAGCCTCACAACCCAGTGCTCAACCACTGCGCCACTGGGAAGGCCCAAATGACATAATTTTTATATTACAGCTTCATATTTTTCAGTTTTTATTGCTCTTAGGACCTTAACAAGTAACTTAAAAGTGCTTTCCCACCCCTACCCTTCCTGAAGGAATAGTTTGGGCTGAGATTAACTAGACCTACATTCTGCCTCCAGTAACCAGCTGTGTGACCTTGAACAGATCCTATTAACTTGCTGGACTCAGTTTCTCATCAGTCTGGAGATTGGGCAGTATAAATGGTTAAAAGTCAGTCATCCTGTAAGTTTATTTTTTTTTAAAAGAAAATGGAAGAGTCTATTACTGTTTATCTGTCTTATGCTTTTCCTTTCTCTCTCACAAATAGGAGCGGCTTCGGCTGCCGGTCTCCTCTACCTGCCCAGGTGGGCAGCTGCCATGTCTGGCTGTGTGCTCGCGCTCTTCACGGCATCCATGTGGCCTCAGGTGCTTGGACATCTTATTAGCTCAGGGTCAAACCCTGGGAAAACGATGACTGTTGCCATGACATTTTATGTTCTAGAAACATTTTTCTGTGCGTGGTGCACGGCTTTTAAATTTGTCCCAGGTGGTGTCTACGCTCGAGAAAGATCTGATGTGCTTTTGGGTGAGTACATGTGAAAGTTCTGGATTAAAGTAACTGGGGGAAAACACCCATCCGAAGTGACTAGGACTTAGCACACCACAGGAAGGGTGGTGATAAATAGGATGATCTTCTCTTTCTTATTAAAATTAATTCTTGAGTAAGAAAAAAACAACTGGAGGAATATTGAAATTACTACTTACAAACAAATGTCTTAGTTCATTGGTGAGTTTCAGTAATATTTATTACTACAAAGGTCTTTAAAGTGAATTTATTGTGAAAAAACAAATTTAATACATCACAAAGTGTGCATTAACACTATGCAACACTTGTATTACAAGATACGTAGGGGAAAGTCTGGTCACGTGCTCATGTTGCTTTTTTAATGGTAAAGCCCATAAATATAAATATAGGAATTATAATGGGGAGGGTCTCCTAAATTTTTATCTATGACTTTTATTTACCATATGTGTTTTTTACTACCTAAATGACTTTATTTAAAGATTACTTCGAATGTGTTTTTTTTCTTTTTATTTTTATTGTGATAACATCAGTTTATAACATACGTGTAGGTTTCAGGTGTCCAGTTTCTCACCTTGGCACCTGTATATGTCACACCACACCCACCACCGTATTTACCATATTTTGGTCAATAAAATAAAGTTTACATATATGAATCACAGCAAAAATGATAAATTCCCAAATCACAGGATAAATATGTTTTCCATTTCAGTGGCTATGGATTTATGTTGCAAAATTAAAATTTCATAAACTTAGCTTACTTTAATAATTTAAAAACTGTTTTATGGCAATTATGAAATTACTGATGTATCCCAGGCTCATGCAAATCAGATGCTGCCTATCACTTTAGCTTAAGTAAAAAATGCAAATGCTTCTCTGAAAAATGAGAAGACTGTGTGTTTGAAGGGGAACCAGTTCTTGCTTGTTCAAACATTCATTTTTTCATTTGTGCCTTTATTCATGAAAAATATTATGGCAGGCCCTCCATGGTGAAACAAGGGGTTAAGACACAGCACTATGAAGCTATCCACAGCTACTGTAGCATGAGTTCAATCCCCAGCGAGGGAGATACTCACATGGTGCAGCAGACCTCTCCTATCTCACCCGCTACTCCCCTGAGCAGTGTATTTCAGTCAATCTGCCTGTTCTGTCCCCCACTCTGTCTCTGGTGAATCTTCTCACCCTCTGCATCTCTGGCCTGTATACCCGAGTTCTTGTATACATAAATAAATAAATCTTAAAAAAATAATATTATGACATGCCTACTATGTTTCAGGCACAGTGCCAGGGGCTCCTGGCTTCAGAGACACAAAGTCCTTGCCCACCTGGAGCTATAGCGCAGTGGGGGAAGTTAGATAGCTATATCACACATGTTGCAATAATCTGTCATATTTCCGTCTCCTTGAACCGATTGTAAGAATTTTGAGAACAGGGGTCATCACTACTCATTCATACCCTTAGCTCTAGGCCCATGACCTAGTATTGACCAGAGAGTTCTTTTTTTTTTTTTTTTAAAGATTTATTTTTATTTATGCATACAAGAACTGGGGTGTATGGTGTGGGAGGTGTGGGAGGTTGAGAGAGGTGTGGTAGGGTAAGAAGATTCACCAGAGACAGTGGGGAGCAGAATAGGCAGATCTACTGAAATACACTGCTGAGGGGAACAGTGGGAGAGACAGGAGAGGTCTGCGCCATGTGGGTCAGCTTCTGGGCCAGGAATTGAACTCGTGCTACAATGGCTGGCAGTTGATAGCGCTGAGACTTTAACCCCTGCACCACCAGGGAGGCCCCAAATGAGTTCTTGATAGGCCTTTGTTGAAAAATGGAAATATAGCTGGAATGAGCACTGGTCAAACTCTATTCCCAAGAACTTCAGCCTTCTGGAATTTCTCTGTCCTCTCAAATACAATTCAAAAATAGCCCCTCCTGCACAAGTTCAGTAAGTGATGCTGTCAGTCTCATTCTAAATCAGCCTTTCCTGATTTCCCGTAGAACAATGAAGGAGAAGGGGTGCCCTTGCTATATACCCAACTGCTCTGGATGTTTCCATATAAACATGCCCCCCTCCACCCATAAGCCAGACATGTATCAGGACAGGTGGACTTGGAAGATATATTCTAAATTACAGGAACTATTTTAAGACAAACTTTGCTATTTCTGGAAAATATCCAAGTTTTCAATATACTAGAGAAATACCTTGCTTCATTTCCTCTGTGGTGATCTGGACTTTGCAAACTTTGGGTTTCTTCTGGTTTCTTTCAGGTGTGCCTACTCTGTCTGTCTTCCTGTTCAATGCCCTGCCTTTTTCCTTGCTCCAGTTTGCTTAGGGATCTGCCATGTGGAGAAAGTAAGAGTCATTCTCAGGTGTGAGTTTATTTCTTTAGAATGTTAAAAATGATGTGTTTTTTGAGTCTCTTCCCACTACCTACGGGATTGCAGAAACAGTGCTTTATTACAGCTCATAACAGGAAATTTTTATGGTGACAGTATATTATAAGGTACAACAGCAAAGTAATATTGGTAATGTTCAGAGTCACTTTAATACAATTGAAAAAACTTATATTAAATAAGAAACTAGTTATAAATTTATTGTCTAGGTTTTTCCTGCTATTTCCTGGAAATTGCACATAACATTTTTAACTAGCCTTCTGCTTAAGCTCAACAATTCCTTGACTTTGTAAATTAATGTATTGTTCAATTACACCTCTCTTTGCATTCTTGCTATCTACAATTTCAGAAATATATAAACCTAACTCATAATCTGTGTGGTCCTGCACCCCAACAGAGCTCAACTTGTATTATTGGTACAGGTGGAGTTCTAGCACACATCCCAGGCCAGAATTACTACCACAAACACTGCCATTGAAAGAACCTACATATCCTCCTTCTCAATGTGGTGCACTGGAGATCTTTTCACCAGAGCGGATTGTATCCCTTAGACAGTTGAAAGGCTCCTTTCTCATTCATCCACCCTCCCTGGCCCAGTCCACACTCAGTGACATACACTATTTGCAGGCTAACAACTAGGAAACACTCAGGAAATTTTAAAAATCTCTTATCTGGAAAATGCAGGCATCCTCTCATTTAAAGCATAGTTCCCAGAGCCTAAATTGATTTCTTATGATCGTCCCATTATTTAAATACTACTACTGTAATTGCTTCAGTATTGACATAAATGAACTCAACTACCGAATTTTCAGGGTGTGCCCATTTATCTGCAATCTTGATTCTGGGAACTTGCTCTTGGAATGATTTTTGGATTAAAAAATAATACACTATTTTCTCTTTTAACAGGGACAGTGATGCTAATTATTGGACTGAATATACTGTTTAGTCCTAAGAGAAGCCTTGACTTTCTTCAAACAAAAAACAGTCCTAAAGTGCTTTTCAGAAAGAGTGAAAGATATATGAAAATTTGTAAGTGTAATTTTGCTCCCTTTTATAAAAAACATTTTATTATAAATAAAAATTTTCAAACATATATGAAATTATAACAAGCCCTCATGTACCCTTGACACAGTTCCAGCAATTAACATTTTGCCAACATTGTTAACAATGTTAATGCTGAAATATTTGAAAGCAAATCTCTGTTATTTTGTCATGTCAACCATAAATGCTCTGTCTTAGTTGTGTTTCACTGCTAACATACATAAGATGATTCAACAGGCAGCATTTCCAAAATGTTTTGTTCTAATCTGCTGTTTATCCTGTTCATTGAGTTTCTAATTTCACCTATTATAATTATCAATATAACATTATTTCTAGAAATCTTTGTGATTTCCTTACAAATTTTCCTGACCATTAATTTAATCTTGTATTTTCTAGTCATCCTATGTGAATACTCTTTTGTTTTTCTAACTGTATTAAGCATGCTTATATTGTATTCTGATCCTAAAATTTCTATTATCTGACACATTTATGGATTTCATTCTGTTCAGTGTTTTTTTTTTTCCCTGCGTATGCCTGCACATGGTAACTTTCTTTCTTGTATATTATTTCTTCTATGTATTTGTGACTTATTCTTACTTCAAGCTCATGGTCTTTGGAACATTTTTAGGGCAATTCTTTAAAATCTGGGTTTAATATGCATGCCACACATGAAAATAAACCTGGATGTTAAATATTCCTCCTTTGCACACAATCCTTGGCTAATAGAGTCAATAATTTCATGACCTTTTTTAATGACAAACTTTCTAAACATGCGTCTCTACTTTCTGTTTAGTTTTGTGGTTGCTTGTTGGAGTGGGCTTATTGGGATTAGGACTACGGCATAAAAACTATGAGCGGAAATTGGGGAAAGGGGTAAGTAATTAAAATTTTTGATACAGAGTTGTGCATGACAAATATACATATGTACATTTGTGCCCCTCACCATCATGATTGACCTGGATCTAATTACTCAAGGTTCCTGGATCCCATCTTCTTAAAGACTTATTTATTTATGTATACAAGCACTGGGTACAGTCAGACGCACAGGAGGGTGAGAGAATTCACCAGAGCCAGAGCAGGGAGCAGAACAGACAGACCGATGAAATACACTGCTGAGGGGAGCAGCGGGTGCAGCAGGAGAGGTCTGTGCGCCATGTGGGACCCTCACCAGTGGCTGGGGATCGAATGGGCGCTGCAGAAGCTGTGGGCAGCTTCACAGCCCAGTGCTCAACTGCTGCGCCACCAGGGGAGGCCCCCCATCTTCTTAAACCTCAGGTCGCAGGCTGATCACATAGTAGAATTATTTTATGAAGTTGGGTTCTTGGTATGGAAGAGATCCATACACTAGAAACAAATTTCTTGTGTTTGTGTAGTATTGAATTATTTATGTCATTCCATAATTTACCATGTCTAAACTATAAAATATAGAATTATTTTGCAGTTGGCTTCTTTGTACTGTTTGTTAGATATTGTGAAGGCAACAATGTGAGATTGCCTGATTCAAGAAAAATCTTACAGATAATTCTTGACTTTGCAGATCGTAGGTCACTTGTACATTGGTGGGTCATGAAAGTTTCTTATAATTTCCTTTTTCATCTTGCTGCCTAAAGTTTTAAATGTTTGGGTTTTTTTTAAAGATTTATTTATTTATTTATACAAGCACTGGGTACAGTGAGAAGCGCAGGAGGGTGAGAGAATTCACCAGAGCCAGAGGGGAGAGCAGAGCAGGCAGAGTGACGAAATACACTGCTGAGGGGAGCAGCGGGTGGCAGGAGAGGTCTGTGCGCCATGTGGGACCCTCGCCCTGTGGTCGGGGATCGAGCAGGCGCTGCAGAGGCTGTGGCAGGCAGCTTCGCAACCCAGCGCTCAACTGCTGCACCACTGGGGAGGCCCCAGTTTTAAATGTTTTATTGGCCCTTTCCTTATGGAAAGGCAGGTGGAAGCAAGAGCAAGTCATTGCAATGTTGTATCGAAACTTAGAAATTTTGATGTGTTTCGTAATGCAGTCAGAGTTACAGTTTTGGCTATATCAGAATTTGTGGGTGAACTTTGAATTTTAGCAATCTGTATTACCAGGCAAAATTTTTTATATTAAATAAAACTATACTATACTGAGGATAGAGGCCATGCTTCTTATGTTTGAGCTTATGCTCCCGGTACCTCACAGAGTGCTTGACACATATTCAGAAAACAGCAACTATTTCTTAATAAGTAAAATTCATTACATGCTCTCTTGCCCTTTTCTGTTGTTATTATTGCAACATAACACCAATCAGAAGAGGACACTGAAAGTCATCCAGGGATTTAAAAGGAGCAATTTTGTAAACGGAATAATTAACCAAATAATCTTTGTATATATAAAATTGAAACGCCCAGCTCACTGCTGGTAGAACATGTATATTTCACTGTTCATGTTAAGTAATAGCCCTCCTACATAAAATGTTGCTGCTTATCCTTCTTCCATCCTGAACTTGTAAAGTCCACATTGAGTTGTTATGTTAGTTTCGGTGATGAATTTGTCTTAATTCAGCCATACTCTTTCATAGGAAAGGTGATCCTGCTGTAGATCTGTAAGTATTCATTTGAGATGAACAAATACCATTGTACTGACTAAGTGCATGGACACAAAAGAGCTGTCAAGGGGCCTGTGCTCCCTCCTGCACTCACCAGTACTGCTGGGGTTAGCATTATATCAAACCCGGGGGCAGTCGACAGTCCACTTTACAAATATGTTAAAGGCCTCCATGTATCTCTCTCTGATCTCATTCTCCTCTGGTGCAGGTAACTCCTGTGCTAAATGTGGTGTTTGTCATTGTCATTTATTGGTGCATAGGATATATTCCTAGACAATATTATTTTTTCCATGTTTTTTAACTTTATCTGACATAGTTATTTTACAACGTCCTTTTTTTTTTAACTTAAAATCATCTCTAAGATTCATCCATATGGAAATAGGTAGCTCTGTGGTCTTCCATTATACTTATGTTACACCATTTATTTATTCATTCACTTCTTATTGAGGCAATAGCCAGGTTGTTTGTTTGTTTTGCTATTCTAAACCATGCCTATCATAAATGCTCACTTTCCAAACATTCCTTCTAACTTCTAAGATTGAACTAGAAGATCACAGACTAATTATGAAAATGACATATAGTTTGCTATGTCTTCTTATTTTTATGACTTATATGTGGGCCAATGTCTAAGGAAATTATTTTGCTGAACTATGAATTTTGACAAAGAAAGGTGGAGAAAACTGGGCCAGGGAAACTGCTATTATTCAAAGTTTTGCTAAATTATGATTAAAACACTCTCTTAGGTACCAACCACACAGGTCTCTGCTGCCATCTGGCCTTTCAGGTTTGGCTATGACAATGAAGGATGGTCCAATCTAGAAAGATCAGCACAACTGCTCAATCAAACAGGTACCTCTTGTTGCAATTAGTTCCGAACTTTTGTTATTGTTGCCTTTATTTTGTGTTAGATCATAAGTAACAGGAGACAGGATTGCTGGGTCATAAACTAATCTCTTAAGAAGACTTTTCCTTTGGAGGGCAGCTGCGGGAGGATTAAGCTTCTGCAACCATACCTGTCTAGAAGAGCAATTAATTCAGTTGATTCTGAACAAAGTCTCATACTGGGGATTCTTGTCATGCCTTTGCTCTTAGAGATGCCCCTGCTGTTGACACCTGTCACTTGGGTACTCACTGTTGGGGACCAGAAAAATGTCAGATAAAAAGGGAATGTGGGGCCTCCCCGGTGGCGCAGCGGTTGAGCACTGGGTTGCAAAGCTGCCCGCGGCCTCTGCGGCGCCGGTTCGATCCCCGGCTGCTCCCCGGCCACCGGAGGAGGGTCCCACATGGCGCGCAGAACTCTCCTGCCGCCCGCTGCTCCCCTCAGCAGTGTACTTCGGTCCCTCTGCCTGCTCTGCTCCCCGCTCTGGCTCTGGTGAATTCTCTCACCCTCCCGCGCTTCTGACTGTACCCAGTGCATGTATAAACAAAAACAAACAAATAAATAAAGAAAGAAAGAAAACATGCCTCTATATATATAAAAAAAAAAAAAAAAAAAAAAAAAAAAAGGGAATGTGGGTCAGAATGATGTTCCTTTGAAAAGTAAGTGGCTTTCAAGAGCCTGAATTTTATTTGTTTCTGTGTCCTGGGTGCTCCTCTTTGTAGGAAGAATCCTTTAGAGTGTGTGGGTGTTTGGTTCTCAGACCACCTACTCGAGTGTGACATGATGCATCAGGCACTAACTATTCTGGCTGTTCCTGATGATGAGCAGGTCTCCAGAGAGATTGCTCAGGGTCTATGTAATTCTAGTGCCTCTAAGAAATGTCTTTGGCGCTTAGTCTTTTAGCTCTCATTACCCGCCTTAGAGGCACATCTGACCAGGGTCCAAAAAAACCCAATGAACTATCTTCTGTGTCAATATCATGGAGGTGCTGCCCAGGAATAATGTGTGAGTGTGTACTGCTCTGTTGTTTCTGAGGTAAGTTGGCTATTTGAGAAAGACATTAAGTCTATTTGAAATTTTAGAAAAAGATGTTAAGAATATTCAGAAATTTAGAAAAGTTATGCTTTTATCTTTTCCTGGGTTTACTTAAGGTCTTCCATGAATTACATTCACAATATGAGAAGATTCCTTGATAGCTCAGAATTGAGCCACTTCATTTTAGTGACTCATTGGAAAATAACTTAATTTGTGATTTATGAGTAAAGGTAAAGGGTTAGTTTTGCTAATTTTTTTTGCATTGCTATAGTTAATGACTCTATGCATTTTTTTCCCTGAACAGGTGCAGATTTCATAACGATTTTGGAGAGCGATGCTTCTAAGCCTTTCATTGGAAACAATGACTTAACCATGTGGTTAGGGGAGAAGTTGGGTTTCTATACTGACTTTGGTCCAAGCGCAAGGGATCACACCTGGGGGTAAGTGTGCCTAGGGAATTAATCCTGAATATAGCCTTGAAAGATGAGTAGCATAGACTTGGAGTAGAAAGTTGAGGTCCACACTAAGCATGGCTGACCTAGAAGACTGTCCTCATGGAGCCTACATTCTAGTGTGAAGAGATTGAAAATACACAGTGATCAACAGAAATAAGATAATTTGAGGTAGCGATAAGTGCTGTGTAGAAAAGTGTAGCAGCTGGGTGGCAGTGGCAATGGGAAGTGTTGCTGCAGGTGGAATTGTCAGGAAGATCTCACTGAGGACCTCCATTGAGAAGGATCCAGGACCCAGGGATGTGCAGATCTTAGGGAACCACCAGGGCAACGACTGAGGTGCGATCAGGCTTAGTGTGCCTGAAATGTAGAGATCGAGGAGGAACCAGAGATAAATGAGATCTGAGATAAAACAAACAATAAAACTCCCTAGAAATAGGACTGTAGAATTGAGGCTTTCAGAGGGGGAAGATGAAAGGGAAAGCAGAGTGGAGAGAGAGGGGGCACAGTGGACTATAATGGAGGGTTAGTGGGGCATTGGAGGTGGGTGTGTTGTGGTAACATATACCTGAAGGGTGTTATCCTGTACCTCTGAATCATATACAGTGTTGTAAACCAATGTTACCACAAGTAAGAGAAAAATGAGCTCTGAGAGAGTCCCATAATCTATGCTTACTCCTCAGCTGAAGTCAGGTGTGATGGAAGCCATTAGATTTTAAAGACTTGAGCAATCTGATCTGAGTTACACTTTTAAAAGATCATCCTGGCTGCTCTTGGAGACAGATCATAGGGCACAAGAATTGAAGCAGGGAGACAGGTGATGAGGTGGATGCAATAGCACAGGTGAATGTGATAGCAGAGCCTCGGACATGGAGAGAAGGGGGCAAATCTAGAAACTATTTTGGCTCAAAGCTGACAGTATCTACTGTTGATTAGAGGTCAGGGGCCAGAAAGTGACAAGGGCAGCATCCAAAATTTTGACCTAAATGCCCAATAGGAGAATGCCACTTAATGGGACAAGACAACCAGCAGAGCAGAAAGAATGTGCTAAGTTTAAGATGCCTCTGGACAGTCAGGTGACAAATACTGGGAAGTCTGAAGGACAAGATGGGCGTGAATATTCAGGTGTCATCACTATAGAGATGGTCCTGTCAGAGGGACTCCATGAAATGATTGGAGACGCAGTGCATCCAGGCAGGGGAGGGAAGCAGCCTGAGCTCTGAGTTCTGCTCATCCTTTTCACATATAGTTCTTTGAGTTGGATAGGTAAAAAACTGTTAGATAATTTGATGAGGCAAAAAACTGTTAGATGAGGCAAAAAACTGTTAGATAATTTGTTTTTCTAATTTTGCAAAAATTTTACTTTGTGTCCTTGCTGGCAAGATTGTACAGTCCCAAATGTGTTGATTTACATAAGAAATGTTGATGCAAATATGACGCCAGAGTGACAATGCAAGTAAAATGGATTTTGAGTATTACTAATTATGACCTGTTCATGTCTCCATAGCACATGTTAAAACAGACTTGACAGTGCGGTGCTTAGTGCCACAGCGAGACATGCTAAGGAGCAGAGATGCAATGAGCCGACAAGCCAGGTGCATTCTGTGCCTCATTATTGCTCTAAATGCGTCTCAATGGGATGCATGTAGTGTGACGCATCCCCATTTAACACGTTTGCTTAGCCCTGTCTGCATGGTGTGGTGGAGCCGTCAAACATGCATATGTTTCTTTTCATTTGAGTACAGGATCATGGCTTTGTCAAGATACCCAATTGTGAAATCAGAGCATCACCTTCTCCCGTCACCAGAGGGCGAGATTGCACCAGCCATAACACTGACAGTGAACATCTCGGACAGACTGGTGGATTTTGTTGTCACACACTTTGGGAACCACGAGTGGGTCTCTTTAGTCTATCTAATAGTATAGAAAGAAATGAAAGTACCTTGCTTTCATTTCCATGAGATGATCTTTCTTACTTCTTTTTCCACCCCAAATATTTCCCCCCGTGTTGGTGCTTTGAAAATTTGGGCGTAGGAACATCTGGGATACAGTTGGTGATGGTAAGGGCACCTGATGTCCATGTGGGTCAGCAGCTGCGAACACCTCTGTGCAGGTGCTGCACCAAGTATATTACTGAGGTTCATCTTCACTCTGTATAAAGTAAGTGGTGGAATAGCCCCATTTTACTGATAAGGAAAGTAGAACAAGACTTAGATGGGTGACTTGTGCAAGCTGCGTCACATAGCCAGGATGTAGGGAGACCCAACAATCTACAAGTGCTTGAACCACAGGGTAAAACCAAACTATGGAGCAACCAGATTCCCCCTTCTCATAGGATTACTACAATTGGAAGGACTGTGAGATTGGAGGGCACTAAATGATATTCCTTTTTTTTCCTCCTGTTTTCACTATGACTGGGAGGTAGGCAGACGAGTCTAGCGAATGGAGATTGCTTTTAATCTGATAAGCTATTTGAAGCACATGGCTTAAGGGTGTCCAGATGGACCTGCCAACATCACCCCAGGACAGCACACAGATCTGACTCCCCCCAAACAGCAGTCGACCTTCTCAAGTCTTCCCTTGGTGGAAAAAATATGCCAGAAAACACCCTTTCTCTAGGTAGGTTCCAAGGAAAGGGAGAGGAAAGATTTGAGACAAGGATTTCAGTGAATTCTTACAAACTTAATTAAATTAAGAAAGTCCTCTTCAAAAGGAAAGGGGGGGAGAGGTCCTTAATGATTTTCTTAAAAAGTCCCTCATCCAGGAAACATGAAGTTTAGGGAATGGGGTTTATCCCCAAAGAATAACATTTACAACTGAGTAAATCACGAAGCACGCCAATGATACATTGTAAAGCAAAGATAAAAGTACGTAGTTTATACTCTACCAAACTAAATATTCTGGCCTAATAATTGAAAACACTGATGTGATGTCTCAGTGCTGTAAAGTGGGACACAATTAATGACACAAGAGGCCTCAGCCTTTAGCATGACTTACAGAATATTAGAGGGATAACAATATTGAACTGTAAGTTTTACCTAAATGAAGCTAAATTATATCTACTACCTTTATTTTTTTGGTTACCTCACTTTTTCTCACAATATTATTTGGATCTGTGAAAGCCTATTTGAATATTTTATGAAGTAAGTAGAGCATACGTAAGATAAACAAACCATCCAAATGTAATGAATGCAAATCCTTAATGTGAATCCATCAATCTGACTCTTGCCTGCCTTCTTTGAAATCAGTAGGGTTTGGAGAAAGGATGGTCCACATTGCTTAAAAAAGGTATTTGAAGAAATGTCTTCTGTTTCTCCCAGTAATTTTTTTTTTAAATGAAAGAATCTGAGACTACCACCACTTTGCTTTTTTTTTTTTTTTTAAGATTTATTTATTTTATTTATTTATTTATACAAGCACTGGGTACAGTCAGAAGCACGAGAGGGTGAGAGAATTCACCAGAGCCAGAGCGGGGAGCAGAGCAGGCAGCATAGCAGGCTGAGGGACCGAAGTACACTGCTGAGGGGAGCAGCGGGCGGCAGGAGAGTTCTGTGCGCCATGTGGGACCCTCCTCCGGTGGCCAGGGAGCAGCCGGGGATCGAACCGGCGCTGCAGAGGCTGCGGGCAGCTTCGCAACCCAGCGCTCAACCGCTGCGCCACTGGGGAGGCCCCCTCTCCCAGTAATTTTCATGTAGCAAGTAGAGGCATAAAAATCATTCCAATGACCTTGAATTGCACTTGAATCAGATTTGTCTTTTTAAAAGCAGGTACTTTTGTGTTTAAGGATTACAAGGTTTCAACCCAAGAAACCGTTGAATCTGCTTCTCTCCTTTGCCTTTCTCCTAGATGCCCCTACCCCCTTCAACTCCCTCTAACCTTTCCTGAAATGTAAAAAATATACTTGAGAAGAATAGAAGTCTAGAAGATATTCCTCAGAACGTTTGGAAAAGAAGAGGGAAATTTGGATTCAAAACTCTTTGATTTAATTAATACTATCTATTATTCACTTGATTTAATAATAATAATAATAATAACAACAACAACAGCAATACCAACAACAGCTAACACTGAACAAGGTGATGTAACTTGAGGGAGGGAAGCTGTACGGTGTAGTGGTTAAGAGCATGGAATGCCAGATATGGAATCAGACACTCTGGTTTGATTCCTGATTCTTCGCCTGTCTTTCACTAAATTGTTTAGCAAGGGTCTTAGTTTCCTTATCTGCAAATCAGGGGTAATAATCCTGTTTGTTCTATAGGATTCTTATGAGTATTAAGTGAGATATGTTATTTTATGCAAAGTACATGAATACATTAAGTGGTCCATTAATACTGACCATTATCATTAAGCTAAATCAGACAACTCTTAAGTGTACGATATGTTGGGCAGTTTAAAAAAGAATTCATTCATCAAACATAAATCAAGCATCTGCCATGTTCCACACCTGTGCTTGGTATGGTCTTGTTTGCCTTAGAGCCACAACCTTGTGTTCACTGCTTAGAAGCCCTGTCCACAAACAATATGGCCTCCCTACAAGTGACAAGAGAGCGTTCAAGTTCCAGTAATTCATGAAGATATCGTTACAGATTTTTGTTTGCCTTTGTTTTCTACAATGCTAGATACAAAAACTCTTACTGTGACTATTTAGAGATTTCAATTTCTAGAAATTTATGGCATACAAATGTGAAATCATAATAGGAGTGAATTACAGAATTCTTGTGCATGCTATTAGCTGAATCACGAGGATTTTAAAAATTACTGGCTGCACAAATATCTCTTTACATCCAATAAATAGGAAACAGCAGCATTGCTTAGAATTGCTGACTTACTTAGCATTGCTTACTTACCTTGTTTAGGTAAGTAGCATTTAGCTATATTTTAGGTAATTAAATGAGCCACCAGTTAATCACCATTTTTTTCTATAATATATACAAATATACAACGAAAGAAGAGCACAGAACCAATGGTCTGTTCTAGTTTTGCTTCTGTTGTAAGATAACCTCAGTGAGTTCCAGTTCTATTGTCTCTGAAAATTGGATAAAATTCTTTTTATTCCCAGCCCACTTTATAGAATTATTGGGCTGATCAAATGTTAAGAGTTTAGAAAACAAAAATGTTCTTTCTTCCTTCCTCCCACCTTCTCGTTTCTTAATGCACAGTCCTATACTTTTTACCTCATTATCACTGAATAAGATTTACCTCCTAAGAAAATTATAAAATCAAATTCATAGATGACTTTCTAATAATAAGTGATTTGGAAAATATATGTGGATGAAAATATTCTCTGGGGTGCAGCAGTGACTGGGATTTTCTCTGTCTTCATTTGAGTCTTTGTTGCACATTTCAGAAGGAACAGAATTCCCTGCACATCTGTTGAAGGGCTGGCATGCTAGGTGTTGGAAGGGTCAGAGGGACAGGTGAGAGATGCTGAGACACTCAGACACCAGTGTCAGTGAGACTCCACCATCCTTAGGGCTGACCGAATGTTGTGGAGTCCAGTGAGACCTGGAGATAGCAGGAGGGGCCACCATGTTCAGGGAATGTAGCTACTGTCAGAGGGACCAGCAAGGCATATCCCGACTACCCTCTCCTCCTACCCTTTCATCTCCCGGTGCCTCAGACTAAACCTAATAGAAAATATGCATGGGGAGGGATGGGGTGGGTGGAATAACATTTGTGTTGGGGGTGAGGGGGGCTCTCAGCCTGCCAGGCAGGAGAATTGGACAAACCCATGGGCACATTACTTAACCTCACTTAAAAATAGTTAACGCCTGCCTGTCAGTTATTATGGGCATTCAATAGCAAATATGTTTAACAAATGGTCATTCTTTTCACTCCTATTTCTTTAGGCATCATTTAATAGTATTCAGCTGTCTATACATCCTTATCCAACTTGAGTCCTTTCTTTGGATCCCACCTCTGTGAGGTTTCTCCTCGTCCTCAACGATCTCCCTCTATCTGCCTCTGTCAATGATTTTTTCCTTAACAAGCATTTATGATGTAACTTTCTAGATACATGTCTGTCATTCTACTGCCTATTTGCTTTTGGATTCATTCCTGGTTCTTCTCCCTTTTGGCTGCATATTGTAGAGAACTGCCTTTCCCAGATTGTTGCCCTCTGGCTTCTAGGTAGGTTTAGCGAGTGGGGGGCGCTGCTAGTGCAAGACTGGAAGGGAAGAACGGAGAAGTCAAGGCATTTCTCACCCCTCTCTCTGCTTTTTCTGCTGTGCCTGGCATCAGTTGAATCTCTTCTGTGGCTCCAGGTCCTCCTCAGAGGGCTCCTGCTCCTTTGGGACAGCCTCCTCCATAGTCCCCTCCCAACAGTCAGAGGTAGGTTCTAGACTCTGAGTATATCACCTCCTGTTGTCTCTGTAGCTGTCGAGATGTTGCTAGTGTCTCATTTTTGCTAAACTCTGCTTGCTTCATTGATTTGCATTTGATTGCCATCATCTAGGTAACCATTTTCCGCCATTAAATTCACTTTGTTCAAAACACCGACAGTAGTTTTAGTTTTCCTGACTGGATTATGTCAAAAAATGTGTCCCGGGCCTCCCCAGTGGTGCAGCGGTTGAGCGCTGGGTTGCGAAGCTGCCCGCAGCCTCTGAAGCGCCGGTTCGATCCCCGGCTGCTCCCTGGCCACCGGAGGAGGGTCCCACATGGCGCGCAGACCTCTCCTGCCGCCCGCTGCTCCCCTCAGCAGTGTACTTCGGTCCTTCTGCCTGCTCTGCTCCCTGCTCTGGCTCTGGTGAATTCTCTCACCCTCCCGCGCTTCTGACTGTACCCAGTGCTTGTATAAATAAATAAATAAATCTTTTAAAAAAAAAAAAAATTGTCCCTATTTTCCCCTAAATAGTCTGACTCTAACCGCCCTCCCAAAGCTTCATGTACTTGTCTCATTATCTCAGCAATATATCTATATGCTTAGCATAATAAAAGCATCATGCTAAGCCAGTATTTGCCCTAGAGAACTAGGGAGGTTTTTAGAAAATGTTCAGTTGAAGGTGTTGAATAGGTTACATAGGTATATTCTATGAATGTTAGGATTCTCCTTTTTACCAATATTCCTGCCTTCTTTTCTTTTTTCCTTCTTTTCTCCCTCTCTCCCTCCACTTTTCCCTCCCTCCTTTCTCAGCCTTCCTTCCTTATTTGACTACTAGTCTGAAGCTGAAATACTGATGTCCAGGTCTCAACTTATACATTTCTTCAGATGAGAAGTTGAGCAAATGCTGGTTTCAGGATAAATATTTAAATCAACTTGACTCCAAATGATTCTTGAAGAAAGAGCATGTTGTCCTTAGTCAAAAATTTGTCAGCCTACTCACTTGAAGCACTGTATCTCTGTCTTATTCATTCTCATGCTGTTAAGATACTTGTTCTGGATTAGTGTACCACTTGAAGAGATTCTATGGGAACTTAGGTATGTAAGACTTTTATAAAAATTATTTTGTGACTATAATAAAGAGATACATTTTTTGCATTCTTTTAGAGATGACCTCGATAGGAAACTCCAGGCTATTGCTGTTTCAAAACTACTGAAAAATAGCTCCAATCAAGTGATATTTCTGGGATATGTCACTTCAGCACCTGGTTCCAGAGATTATCTACAACTCATTAAACATGGCAATGTGAAGGTAATACAATCTTCTTAGGATTTTTATTTACTAAGTAAAATGTTTCCTTTTCTTTAAAAAAATCCCAACCCAACACTTAATATGTATTCTGATTTTCTACTGCTGCATTAAAAGCCACCCAAAACTATGTTGGCTTTAAACAGCTCGCAGGAGAAAATGCCCGCCTAGCAGTGTCCTGGCTTTCCCAGCAGGTGCAGTGCTTCAGTACCTCTGTGGTCAGGCCATAATCAGACTTGTGAGGCCACCTGTTCAGATATATGGTGTTGAAGGTCGCTATGCCGCTGCTCTTTATTCTGCTGCATCTTAACAGAATAGCTGGAGCAAGTAGAAAAGGAGTTGTTGAGCATGGTGCAACTCTTAAAGGAACTCAAAATGGCTGCTTCTGTTCGGAATTCCCATGTGAAGCCACCCGTTAGTGAAGAGTCTAAATGACATGACAGTGAAAGAGGTTTTCTAGCCTCACATCCAACCTGATCAATTTATTTGCTGAAAATGGCCGTTTGAACAATCCCCCTACAATTGTCTCTGCCTTCTCTACCATGCTGAGTGTCACTGTGGAGAAATGTCTGGCACACTGACCTCTGCATCTCCTTTAGATGAAGCCACATTTACTTAATTAAAAACCATCCTGAAGAACTTTCTCAGAGAAAATCACATGTTGAAGTTAGACGACAAGACCATGGGTAGAATTATTGTCCATATTAGAGAGAAGTATATTGATGTGTCTGCAAAAGCCAAGATTCAGAACCTGAGCAAGGTGATGTGAGAGACTATCTGAAAGTGTTGGTTTCTGTCAGTGAAATTCTAAACTTGGAGCAACAATAAAATGCCTCCTAAATAGAATAAAGTAAAATAAAAATCCACCAAAAATTACACTGGCTTGAAGCAACAGCAATTGTCTACTCGTGAATCTTCAGTTTGAATGGTTCAGTGGGGAGAGCTCATCTCTGCTCTGTAAAGCACAGTGGCGCTGGGAGACTGGATGACCCACTTTGCACATGACCCTCAGGTGGCAAATTGGTGCTTGGCTGTTGACCAGAAGCTCAGCTGGGGCTTTGGGTTCGGGCTCACATGGGCTTCTTCCTTGCATCATGGCTGGGTTTGAGTGCATGTCCCAAGAAAACAAGGGAGAAGCTGTACTGCCTTGTATGACCCGGACTTGTAAGTCATATAGTGTGATTTCTGTCATCATCATGCTCACGTTCAAGTGAAGAAATATAAACTCCACCTCTCGATGGGAGGAGTATCAAAGTCACAGTATGAGAATATCATCTAGAAAGTGAGTTTATTGTAGCCATGCTTAGAAAAGACACATTATGGAGGTTAATTATGATGCTGAGAGCAAAGATAAAAATGAAATTTCACACAGAAAGCATGGCTGATCAGACAGGCAGGACCTCCCTAAGTGGCAATGAATTAGTCCTCATCTGCTTATATCTAAAACACTTGAGTTTTTCAGTGTACCCATATATAATGATTCTCTGGGGATCAGACACCCAAATTAAGTCCTCAAGAATGATATACAGTTAATCCTTGAACAATGTGGGAGGTCGGGGGTACTGACCCACTTGTAACTTTTGAGTCCCCAAACATTTAACTACAGTTATCCCCCAGGATCCTCAAGGGATTGGTCTCAGAACACTTCCACAGACACCAACATCTGCAGATGTCTAAGTTCCTTTTAGGGGACTCTCTGTATCCATGGACTCTGCACTGAGTGTTCAACAACCAGCATCCATGCTTGGTTAAACCAGTGAATATGGAGCTCAGGGTTCTAGAAAAAAGCCTGGGCAAACTCAAGTAGTTCCAGCCTCAGCTGTATGCACTAGAATGCTAAATGCATTAACTTATAATGAACATAGAAATATAATTGTTCAATGTAGTCAAGCCCTATGTAGATTTCTTGATTCTTTATATTTTGTTTTTGACTTCATGTCTTGAGATAATATCTACAGAAAAAAAGAAAAAACTTATCCACTTTATTAAGTGCTTAGAAGGAAGGTGAAGGAAAGCATGGCACAATGGGGATCTTCTGCATGTGATAGAAAACACAAAAAGACAGTCGCTTAAATAGAGAGAAGTATATTTCTTCCTTTTCTTTTTTTGGCTATAGAAGCACATTTCTTTGTGTAAAAGTCTGGGTGAGATTCAGCACTGGCATGCACCATGTGGTGTCAGGAATGTGCTCCTTCTATTTTGTTGCTCCACAAAGCCTCCATTGCCAAGTTTGCCTCATGCCCAAGATGGAGCATCCATGTTCTAGTAAGCAAGATAAAGAAGATGCCAATAACATATGCAAGCCATTTCTAAGGAAAAATCCAGGAAACTGACCTCTCACACTTGTATTTACATTTCACAGGCTGAAATTTATTTTTTTTAATTTTTATTTTTTTTAAACAATATTTGCCTCCCCCCACACCCTCAGGTTCAGTCCCCATAGAATTTCCTTCCCCAAGGCACCCATGCACCATCACCACAGTCCCCTGTTCTCCTCCCTCCCTCCTTTGATTCCTCTCCCTTCTCCTCCCCTGCAGGAGGTCTCTGATTTATAATTGTATTTGCTTTGTTGTGTTTTGCACTGTTATTATTTTTTTTTTACATTGATGTCTTATTTGGTTCCCCTATATTCCTGTTATAAATGAGACCATCCGATATTTTTCTTTTTCCTTCTGGCTTATTTCACTGAGCATAATTCCTTCTAGTTCCATCCATGTTGCTGCAAATGGCATGAGTTTATCTTTTTTGATTGCTGAATAATATTCCATTGTGTATATATTCCACATCTTCTTGATCCAGTCATCTATTTTTGGACATTTGGGTTGTTTCCAGGTTTTACCTATTGTAAATAGTGCTGCAATAAACATAGGAGTACAGGTGCTCTTTTGAATCAGTGTTTTTGTGTCCTTTGTGTTTTGTGTCCTAGTAGTGGAATTGCTGGGTAGTATGGTAGCTCCATTTTTAGTAGACTGAGGAAGCTCCAGATGGCTTTCCATAGTGGTTGTACCAGTTTGCACTCCCACCAGCAATGTAGGAGAGTTCCTTTTTCACCACATCCTCTCCAACCTTTGTTGTTGCTTGTTTTTTTGATTTGTGCCATTCTTACTGGTGTAAGGTGGTATCTCAATGTGGTTTTGATTTGCATTTCCCCGATTATCAGGGATGTTGAACATTTTTTCATATGCCTGTTGGCCATTTGCATTTCCTCTTTGGAGAAATGTCTTTTAAGTTCTTCTGCCCATTTATTGACTGGATTGTTTATTTGTTTTTGTTGAGCTGTGTGAGTTCTTTGTATATCATTTTGATCAGTCCCTTATCAGTTGAATGGAGTGCAAAGATTTTTTCCCAATCTCACTGGCTGTAATTTAATCCTTTGGCCACCTCTGTGTACAGGAAGTTGGGCAGTGCAATATTTACTCTTGTTATCCATTTACTCTGCTAAAAATACTGCACCTTTGAAGAAAAGCAAGATGAATCTTGAGAAGATGAGTTAATATCTTCCATGGTGGACAGGCAGAGAGTGGAGACTGAGTTTGACCCTTGATCAGAAGGTTTATGGGGGTGACTTTTTTTTTTAAAGATTTATTTATTTATATAAAAACTGGGATATTGGCCAGATGTGTGGGAGGGGGAGAGGATTCACCAGAGACAGAGTGGGGAACAGAACAGGCAGACTGATGAAATACACTGCTGAGGGGAGCAGCGGGCCAGACAGGAGAGGTCTGCTGCCATGTGGGTTTCTCCCCGGCCAGCTAGGATAGAACCCACGCTGCAGAGGCTGCAGACAGCTTCATAGTACTGCACTCAACCACCTGCACCACCAAGGAGGCCCCGGGGGTGACATTTTAATACCATAGAGACTCCATGAAGAAGAGTTGCAAAGAAGATGATGAGCTCAGCTTTCACTTGAATTGAGGCAGTTGTGGAATGTGAATGGAGATCTTCAGCAGGCAGCTGATTCCGTGGCTCTGAGTTGAGAAGAGATAGATTGAAGTAGCTGCCACCATCTAGGTGAGCTCTGAAGCCACTGAAGTGGATGATGTTGCTTACGAAGAAGTACAAATGGAAGACAAAAAGAAAATTCCAATGAAAGCCACATTTAATGTGGTTCATGGAAATGGTGGGTGAGGAAAGAGAAGAAAGATTACTTTAGAAAAGAGATTAAGGTGTTATAAGAATATAAAAAATATTCAGAGAGTGTGGAATCACCGAGGCTGTGATTATCACTCCCTAAAAAACCATCCCAAAGCTTAGCAACTTAAAACAATGAAGGGTTTGTTGTTGTTTTATTTTTTTTGAAGATTTATTTATTTATGCATACAAGAACTGGGATACAGGCCAGAAGTGCAGGGGGTGAGAGGATTCACCAGAGACAGAGTAGGGAACAGAACAGGCAGACTGACTGAAATACACTGCTGAGGGGAGCAGCGGGTGAGTCAGGAGAGATCTGCTGCTCCATGTGGGTTGCTCCCTGGCCGGCCGGGGATCGAACTCGTGCTGCAGAACTCATGCTGCAGATAGCTTCATAATACTGTGCTTATTAACCCCTTGTGCCACCAGGGAGGCCCTTGTTGTTGTTTTAAACCTTTGTTGTTTTAAAACATGATTCTATGAATGGACTGGGTGGTTTGCTCTTCTTGCTTGGGCTCACTGGGGGAGTGGGCTGGTGATTCGGCCATGCCTGGGAGTGGGGAAGGTCTAAGATGATTCCGCTCACATATCTGGGGCCTTGGTGCTGGTTACTGGCCAGGTCTCTCTGTGCACATGGTCTCTCACCATTCACCAGCCTGGTAGGTGCTGCTTTTGGTAGCTGTGGGACCTTGTGGCAAATTACTTAACCTTTCTGTGTCTCAATATTAGTATCTGTAAAGTGGCGATAGCAATATCATACAGTTGTTATGAGGATGAAATGTAAGATGATGTCTGCAAAGCCCTCAGTCTTGTATGTAGAAAGAGCTCGATAAATGGTAGGTACTCATATGAATTGCGTGCATCTGGCTGTATGTATAAAATCAAGCAAGAGAAAAGTGTCAGTGCATGGCCTGTAAAACACATGGCAAGTCTGAGGAAAAACTGTAAGAAGGAAGTATAACTCTGCGTGTGTGTGTGTATGTGTGTGTGTTTTAGGGATGAGGAATTTGATTTGATTTTTATTTAATTTATTTTATTTATTTAATTCCCTGTTGATTTTCATTCTCATGGTCAGACACTGTGTCAAGATTGGCAGTGAGTTCTTATTTGGCTTTTTCTATTAGGAAGTTTATTAATGCGGGAAGGAGTTTTAATCATAAATGCTTGACAGAATAGATTTTTCTCCTTAAGAAATGAGTATTTAAATTCTGCAATCCTAAATTTTGACAGCATCTTTTTAAAACCTAATAAAATAAAATGATAGTTAAACATATTCATAATTTATCATTCCCAGTACATATAGCTGAATAACTATATTTTTCATCTCATCCCAAAGCAGACCAGAACAGCACTTTTTTTCACATAGTTGCTTTTTCACCATTAAAGAATTTAATTTAAAAAATAACAGTTTTTCCATATCTACAAAGACATACATATGCATGTGAAATTTAAAAGTAATAGTAAAGATTAATTTTTAAAAATCCGAATGTTTACCACTGAACTTAAGAAAACGAAAATTAAAAAACAGTGAACTGTGGTGTAATCTTTTAGTGATTCAAAAATGTATTTTTAATTAAATTTTAATAGTAAAATCTAGAAACAATGAAGTCAGGTGTATTTATTATTTATAGGATTTTTTAAAAGAACAAAATGGAGATTTCTTCAGTACAAAGGTTCCATATTTAGAGTTTTTCCCAACATAAAAAAAATATGATCTGCTTCTCAGATGAAAAATAACCCTGGTCTCAAGCTTTCAACATCAAAAAGACTCATGATTGCTCCCCAAATGTGTTTGTTTCCAGTGATTCAATCTAACAAACACAGATTGAGTGCCTGCCGAAAGCCAGGCTTCACGCTAAGTACCAGGCAGCAAAGTGATCAAGGGTCCCTGTGCTCGGGAACAGGAGGGTGGAGACAGAGACACAAATAACTGTACGGGACGGTGTGATGAGGGATGGGATGACAGATGAAGAGGCAGTCAATTCTGCCTGGGATGAGAAATTTGGAAAGCTGCAGGGAGCCAGGGGCTGTATGGTAATAATTGATTTTCCTGCCTGACTCCTTCTCTAGACACCTCACCTTTATCCTCCCAGCATCTAGAGCAGGAACTAGATGGCATGTTGTAGTGCTCTAAAACATTAGGAGAATGAATAAACAATTTGGACCTTAAAGGATCAGTAGCAACCAGACAGAGAAAACAGCATGCTCAAGACATATTTATTACTGTAGCTCTCACGTTTTCTTGGCAATTCAGAATGCAACACTGTCTTTAATGCCTTAAACATTCTCTTCTCTATCCCTTATTAGGATATCGACAGCACAGATCAAGATAGATGGTGTGAATACATTATGTATCGAGGCCTGATCAGGTGAGCATAGTGGTTTCGTGGTTGTTTTTTAATCTGTGATTACTGTGCTCTTTTGGGTCTTTTCTGGAAGGAAAAGCTTTATGGAATTAATTAATTGTGTTACTTTTTATAAACATTGATTTGGCCAGTTACACAGTTTAACATTTTTCTAAGGTGTAATCTAATGATTGAAGAAGGAATAAATAGCTAAGCAATTTAAGCTTAATTATATAAAGACGACATTGTGTAAGTTACTAGGCATGATAAGTACTGTACTGTCAACAGTGTTAGAATAGCACTATTTTGACTGTATGGTGTGGTGGAAAGCTCCAGGCTTGAATCACAGATTTGCCAAATTCTTATCATGTACTCTTGGGCAAATAAACTAACTTGTTAGAGCCACCAGTACAGTGTGATGAGGTCTCTAGGTAAATTATATTTAAAAATATCATTCCGCATCAAAAAGTAAATCTTTTCCACCTATATTTCCAAATAATACAGCTGAAAGACCTCAAAATTCAAAAATGTTAGTGTGTAAACTTGTTTTGAAGGCAATATTTCTTTAAACAAAGAGCAATTTAATGCTAAAAAAAGAAAGAACTAATCATTCTTCATTCATTTATTCAAAAAGTATGTATTAAATACCTACCATATGACAAATGTTATTCTAGGCAATGGGTATATAAGGACCAAATCCTTGACTATCCTGGAGTTTACATTCCAGTGGAAGGAGACAGGAAATAAGAACATAAGATATCAAGGTGGTGAAAATATGTTGAATTAAGTCAGGTCAGAAGGATTTGGGAGTCCAGGGGTGGGTGGATATTTTACAGAGTGGGGCAGGGTAGCTGCTCTGATAGAGTGACCTTTGGGCAGAAACCTGAAGGAAATGAGGGAATCCTCTTGTCTATATCCAGGGAAGAGCATTCCAGGCAAGGGGAACAGCAGGTGCAAAAGTTTGAGTGGCATGCATGCTTGGTATTTTGGGTGATAGTATGGTGGTCAGTGTGACTGGGGTAGAGTGAGATGGGGCTGATGTGAGAGAGGTAAGGGGGTACAGAGCATGTATACAGTGATTGATTTCCTCCACTTACAGAGTTCTCCAGTGGCAGGAACATGCTGGAGACCGTATCTGCTGCTCACAGTACTCCTGTTAGTACAGAATCTGTTTGGAGATATTTGACCTGAGGTTCTAATTACTTTTCTTAAGACGCCACTGGCAACTCTGACATGTGCTTTTAGGATTGGCCACTCTTGCTCTGGTCCCTCCTCAATATAGAGCAGTTCATCACCCTGAGGTGCTGTGGCATTGCCTGCCTAAAGATACAGGCTGATGTTGAACTGATCACCCCTTCTAAGATCTGTGATCTACATTTATGAGAGAAAATGTCTGCTATCTAGGAATAATAGAGAACCACAGAGTCAGTTTCTCTCCCATTGGATATAAGGTTTGTTCAGTTACTGTTTGGTGAAAGCAAACTCTTAGATATTCCTGTTCTTTATCCAATTTGTCATTCAGCAAGCCCTGGTGGGCATAAAGCACACCAGGTACCAGGGGTATAGGCAACAAATAAAACAAATAGAACTCTTCTCGTGGTGGAGGGAAGCTAGGCAATAAGCATGGTTGCTAATTCCATGATGTTGTATTTTTGGAGGCCAAGAGTGTGATGGGAAAACTTTGAGCAAGAAAAGAAACATCTAGAATATGGAGATGGGGTTCAATTATAAATAAGGTGTTGAATAGGTTTTTCTGAGAAGGTGACACTGGAGCTAGATTTGAAGATCTTTCCAGGTAGAAGGACCAATGAATGCAAAAGCCCTAAGGCAGGAATGCTGGGTGGATAAGCGAGAGAAGTAAGACTAGTGGGGCTAGAAAGTATGTGTGGGGGGATGGAGGTGAAGGAGATAAGGGGTCAAAAGAGGAAGAGAGTAGATCTTGTAAGTTTCTGTAGATTCTGCTTAAGGACTTTGGATATTATTTAGTAAAATAGTAACCTTTTCTGGTTCTGGACAACCACAAAAATGGGCTCATATACTTACTGAGGTGGGTCAAGGAGGCTCTTGAGATGTTAAGATCATTCTGGTTTCACTACCATTGCAGAAACTCTATTGAAGTCCAACACATGCCCGCATGGCTACAGGAGACATAGCTTGGCTATTATTTTGGAGTTTTCTTTTTTCTTTTTAATTTTTTTTTTTTAATAGAGGCATGTACCATTTATTTATTTGTCTGCTTGTTTGTTTGTTTTGTTTATACATGCACTGGGTACAGTCAGAAGCGCGGGAGGGTGAGAGAATTCACCAGAGCCAGAGCGGGGAGCAGAGCAGGCAGAAGGACCGAAGTACACTGCTGAGGGGAGCAGCGGGCGGCAGGAGAGGTCTGCGCGCCATGTGGGACCCTCCTCAGGTGGCCGGGGATAACCGGCGCCGCAGAGGCCGCGGGCAGCCTCGCAACCCAGCGCTCAACCGCTGCGCCACCGGGGAGGCCCTATTTTGGAGTTTTCAAAGGTTTAAAGTGAGAGCATATGAAAGTGTTAGATTTGTAAAGTATTTGATTTGTCAGATTGAAAACATTCTTTCCTTAAAGTCATATTAAAATGGTTGTTTTAATGGGGATATTAGAATTTCTAGAAAGCAATTTAAGCCACAGACTGAAATAGGTATAATTTCAAGTTGTTAGTTGCCAAGGAACAGTGGTATTTTTAGTGCCAATGCCAATAATTGCTAATCACTGAGCTCTGTACACATGTGGGCCAAGACCTTTACTACCTCTCTTTAGGAGAGTGGGATGGCAAATTTTTAGATAAAAATATTTTGATATATGTATTCAGTATGACTGTCAAAGATGTATTTAGTTTGCTTAGATTGCTAGAACAAAGTACAACAGACTGGGTGGCTTAAACAACAGGCATTTACTTTTTTCACAGTTCTGGAGACAGATCAAGGGTGAGATTGATAGGGAGAGATTCTTTATATAAAGACACTAATCCTATTGGACCTGGGCCCCATCCTTAAAACCTCCTTAAGTCTTACTTCCTGGAGGCCCTATCTGTAAACACTCTGGTGAGGGCTTCAACTTATAAATTTGTAGGAGGCACACATACATTCAATCTGTAAAAAATGGAAAGGTAATTTCAAAAATACCCAATTAATAAAGCCTGGGACTAGTGTTTTTTTCAGTTTTTTTTTCTGCAAAACCAATTCTATAAACTTTATCATAATCACCTAGTTCAATGCCCCGCACTTAGCAATAAATATTTACTTACAAAAATGAGAGATTCCCTGCTATCATGGAAGATTTGAATTGTCATTTTTCTTATCTTTAAGGACTTTTGGGAAGATGCTTGAAGGGAGTGTCTATGAAATAGGTTAGAACTTTGATCTTAGAGATTTGGGAAATAAATAACCTAGATTTACTAAAGGCAGTGAGCTAGAATTACAAGGAAATGCAGGGATTTGGGACCTGAGTTTAGACAAATATATTATCCTGTCAGATAGCTGAGACCCACCTCTGATGTCCTCACAGCTCTTCTCTTACCCTTCATGCTGGGCAGACATGCTGTCTACCTTGCCTGGCTTTGGATTTCTATTTTGTCTCTAGTGTATGTAATTTACAGACTTTTAAAAAAATTTTTTTATTTATACTAGCACTGGGCACAGTCAGAAGCGCGGGAGGGTGAGAGAATTCACCAGAGCCAGAGAGGGGAACAGAACAGGCAGACCGATGAAATACACTGCTGAGGGGAGGCAGCAGGAGAGGTCTGCGCACTGTGTGGGACCCTCACCGGTGGCCAGTGATTGAACCAGCGCTGCAGAGGCTGCGGGCATCTTCGCAGCCCGGTGTTCAACTGCTGAGCCACCAGGGGAGGCCCAATTTATAGACTTTTTAAAAGTGCTCTTCCTCCTACCACTCTGGTACAAGAAGATCCTGTTGTCTTTTTTTTTTTTTTTTTAATTGCATTGGTCTCCTAAATGGTCTTGTTACTTTAAGCCTTTCTCTGAGTTTATTCTCTACACAGTGGACATCACATCTCTGCACAAAACCCCTTGGTTCCCATCTCACGCTTAGAAAAAATCTGAAGTCCTTATAGGTGTCAGCAAGGAAGGCTTTACATCATCTGCCTACCACTCCCCAACTCATCTAATATGTTGTCCCTTACTCTACTTATGTCTTTGTGGAGTTGAGTCTCAAAAAATCCCAGCACATTCTGCCTTGGGACCTTTGCATTTGCTATTCCCTTCCCTTTCCCTAGAACACCTTTTCTCCATTATCGCTATGATTTTTCTCCCTCATTTCATTCAATTTTCTGCTCAAACATCACTTATCAAAGAGATATACCCTGACCATTTGTTATAAAATAGCAACTTCTGGCACCAAGTAGTCCCTGTGCTTTTCACTCTGATTTCCCCCCTTAGCACTTTAGGCACTTGTCACCACCTGGTGGATATGCATGCATATGCACACATTTAATTTGTCTCCCCAACTAGAATGAAAGCAAGGGCTTTGTATTGTTCACTGTTTATCCCCAGGACCCAGGACGGAGCCTGAATGTAGAAGGAACTTGGGGTGTGTGTGTGTGTGTGTGTTCATTGACTTCTGGGTGGTCTGAACTTTGGGTTTCCATAGAATAAATGCATTGACTTAATTATTTATTTATTTTCAAAGAGGACATATATAGATACAGTAAACATATATATATATATATATATATATATATAATATAATAAATTCTTGGCTGCTGCAGTTTCTCCATTTTCCATCTAAGTTTATCAATAACTGTGGATTACATCTATAAAGTGCTTTGAATTTCCTGGGGAACTGAAAGCTCTAAGCAAAAACAGGATGTGAAATTTTTCAGGCATATAAAATCTTTTATTTTAGACATGTAAATGTGGATATAAATAGGCCTGTGGTATTTGGATTTTTAAAGGTAAGAAAGGATTTAGGCTTATGCTCTGGTCATGCTGTAGAATTCCTGTTGCTGACTCAAAACATAATTGTGTGAGAGGTAGTTTGTACAGACAGAATATTCATTAGTGTGAAAAATAGAGTAAGGTTGCCAAGTACATTTGGTTAATTAAACAAACGTATGTGCAGGTTCCAATTTCATTTATATCAGAAAAGTAATATTTTGATATATATTTGGAGTAACAAATCAAGTGAATGTTAGCAATATACAGAATAGAGTTAGAAATAAGAAATTGGCTGAATAATGAAGGTGTCATCTACTAGAATTCATTCTATTTCTATATGATGATAAAACCTTTACCAACCATTTCTTTTTCTGTTGCAGATTGGGCTATGCAAGAATCTCCCATGCTGAACTGAGTGACTCTGAAATTCAGGTGGCCAAATTTAGGATCCCCGATAATCCCAATAATTATAGAGACAATCAGAGAGTGGTCACAAACCACAGGGAAGTTCCTGAGAATATTCATTTTAATCCCAGGTGAGTGAGTTCCTTTAGGTTATACACTAGAGTTATAAGGTACAACACGCTCTCTAGGGAAACTAAATGTTGCCTGACAATGAACTGCAAATTATATTTGGTCCTAGAGCTTTATTTATTTTTAAAGATTTATTTATTTAGGCATACAAGAACTGGGGTACAGGCCAGATGTGTGTGGGGGTGAGAGGATTCACCAGAGAGACTGGGGAACAGAACAGGCAGACTGACTGAAATACACTGCTGAGGGAGCAGCGGGCGAGTCAGGAGAGGTCTGATGCACCATACGGGTTGCTCTCTGGCTTGCCGGGGATCGAACTCATGCTGCAGTGGTTGCGGACAGCTTCATAGGTCTTAACCCATTGTGCCACCAGGGAGGCCCCTGGTTCAACAACTTTTTTCGTAAGAGAACTCATGGTTAAGATGATAAAAATCCTGCTTGGGTTGAAGTCATGGTTCCTGCTTTCTGGGAAAAACCTCAGGTAAAATAAAATCACATCGGCATGGTCGCCATCATTAACACCATAACCGCTGCTGAATGTTGGTATTCCCAGACTCTGTTCTAGGTGCTCGATTAGTTCTCTTGGGGATGGTACTCTTCTTATCCCCATTTTATAAGTCAGGAAGCTCAGGCAGAGGAACAGGGAGATAACTCCACAAGGGTTGCATGGCTCATCAGTGTCAGACTAGAAGTGGGAAGGGGGCCTCGTTGGGTTCCTGTGATTCAGCACTGACTGCACGCAGACCCATATGTTAGCTTTTAAAGCTACCACTACCAGACCCCCATCCAGGCCTATTCCTCAGGAGCTCTTGCTGGTCAGGACTTTGGGTTCCAAAAGTCTTTCTAGGTTATTCTAATGTGCAGTGGATTGCGACTATGGTGAGCTGATCGTTTGTTTCCATTACAGATGTTCTACCATCTGAAATATGTTGGATTTTGCTTAGTTTTAAATAGACATTATCTGAGAAATCTATTTACAGCAAAACACGTGACTTAGAGTATGTGCTCTTTTTTCTTCCCATGGCTGGGAAATGAGAAAAAACGTCTGCATAAAACTAAACCTAAGTGAATTATATACATTTTTATTATTTGACATTTCTACCACTTTTACCAGCTAACAGCTATAGAAACTCCTCAGACCTCATTTTGATGAGGGAAAAGGGATGTTCATCCATTCTCTTTTTTGTTCTTTTTCTCTCCTTACAAAAAGAAAAAATTGTACCAATGTAGTATGGGCAATGACTTTGTGGAGAAACTAGACCAAGTCTTGATTTGCTCCATTACTTATTCGATCTTGTCCTATGTAAATGTAATGTGGTTGTGAGAAGTGTGGGCTCTGGAGCCACGCTGCCTGGTTCAAATCCTCACTCTTGTCAACAAACAGTTGAGTAACTGTGGGCGAGATGCTTACTCTCTATGCCACAAGCCACTCGTCTGCAAAATGGGAAAAGTAGCAGTGCCTGCCTCCTAAGGTTCTTTGAGGTTGAATGACACATGAAGTTCTTAGACTAGTGCAAAGTGAATGCTCACATAGCCAGTACTGCAGGGCAACAATAGTATTTACAGTAGTAACTGTAGAAGTACAACAGAAGTGTCCCTCCTTTCTCTGATTAAGGTCACTTCTTAAATAGAACCAGAAGATCTGGGAAGCAAAGCTTTTCCTATGTCCTTGTTCTCCTATACCGGAGTGTGGAGAAGTCCAAATAACATATTTTGTTACTTTTATCCAAATAACACTACTGCACGCTGATCCAGACCAAATATGAAGTCAGCTTGATGTGCTTACCCACTTGTTTAATTATGGATATAGCAGAGGCATACATAGAAGGCCTTCCTTAATTTGAAAAATTTTTATAGGCGTACAAGTGAAAATTGATAAGATAGAAGTAGTCAAAAAATATTAGGCTTACCAAAAATCCCATTTCTATAACATCCCAGACATAGTATGCGCTCTTAAATGAGGTTAACCTATATGAAATGCCCATGTTTTAAGGTCAAAATGAGAGAATACCAGTTTTGCCAATGATTCATCATAATTATCAGTATAATGCATTATAGGAAATCTGATAATAGATTGAGGGTATATTTTATGAAATCTAATTAGTAATTTTTGAAATCATAGCAACTGAGTGAAGTATAGATAGTGATGTCTAGGATGAATTCATAATCATTCTATTTTGAGGGTGTGTGTACTATTTTATTTTCTTATTTTTTAATAGTAAATTATTTCTCATTGAGATGACATTGGTTTACAACACTGTATATGATTTAGGAATATAGATTTACACCTCTTCAGATGCAAGTTACCACATGATGCCCACCAGCAGAGTACCAATAGCACTCTGTTACAGTCTGCCAGGCCTCCCCTTTGCTTTCCACTCTCTCCAGTAGCCTCAGTTCTGCTGCACCATGTGGGTTAGCTCTGTGGCCAGGGATCGAACTCGTGCTACAGTGACTGTGGATAGTGACACAGTGACTGCGGATAGCTTCATAGTGCTGCGATTTAACCCCTTGCGCTACCCGGGAGACCCCCTACTGGCCTCAGTTCTGAAGCCAAGTTTCTAGGGTTTGTTTTGGTTTAGTTTTTTTTTTTTAATTAATTAATTTATTTTTTACAAGAACTGGGGTACAGGTCAGAAGCATGGGAGGGTGAGAGAATTCACCAGACCCAGAGCAGGGAGCAGAACAGGCAGACGGAGCAAAGACACTGCTGAGGGGAGCAGCGGGTGAGGCAGGAGAGGTCTGCTGCACCATGTGAGGTTCTCCCTGGCTGGCAGGGAATTGAACCGGCACTGCAGAGGCTGCGGACAGCTTCGCCACCGGGGAGGCCCTGTTTTGGTTTAGTTTTGTCTGTTGCTTTGCTTTGATTTCTTTATACTCCACATATAAGTGTAATCATCTGGCATTTATTTTATTCCTTCTGACTTATTCTGCTTAGCATAGTCCCCTTCAGGTCCAGTCATGTTGTCACAGATGACAAGATTTCATGTGTTTGTGTTTTTTAATAACTGTGTAGTATTCCAGTGTGTGTGTGTGTGTGTGTGTGTGTGTGTGTGTGTACCACATGTTACGTATTCACTCATTGGTCCTTGGGCACTTAGGTTGTTTCCATAACTTGGCTATTGTGAATAGTGCTGAATGAGCACAGATGTGCATGTATCCCTTCAAATTAGTCCTTTTGCATTCTTTGGTAAGATACCTAGGGGTGGAATTGCTGGATCATATGGCAGGTCTTTTTTTTTTTTTTTTTTCCAGTAATTTTTTTTTTTTTAATCTTAAATTTTATTTTTATATTCCCCCATACAATTGCAAACGCCCCATTCTGACCCCAATCCTTCCCCTCCCGCCCCCACCCCCCAAAAAGTGTCTCTGGTTCATAGTTTTTTGTTGATTTTGATTTTCACTTTCTTATATTCATTTTCCTGGTCCCTTATTTAAGTTTTCTAGATTCCTGCTATGAGTGAGACCATCCGGTATTTTTCTTTTTCTTTTTGGCTTATTTCGCTGAGCATGATCCCTTCCAGCGCCATCCATGTTGCTGCAAATTGCATGTGTTTATCTTTTTTGAATGCTGAGTAATATTCCATGGTATATATGTACCACATCTTCTTGATCCAGTCATCTACTTTTGGGCATTTGGGTTGTTTCCAAAGCTTAGCTATTGTAAACAGTGCTGCTATAAACATAGGGGTGCAGGTGCTCTTTGGAATTGATGTTTCTGTGTCCTTTGGGTAAATACCTAGGAGTGGAATTGCTGGATCATATGGAAGCTCTATGTTTAGTAGGTCCAGAAATCTCCACACAGCTCTCCATAGTGGTTGGACCAGTTTGCACTCCCACCAACAGTGCAGAAGAGTTCCTTTTTCTCCACACCCTCGCCAACATTTATTGTTGCTAGTTTTTTTAATATGTGCCATTCTCACTGGTGTGAGATGGTATCTCATGGTAGTTTTGATTTGCATTTCCCTGATGACAAGTGATGTTGAACATTTTTTCATATGTCTGTTGGCCATTTGCATTTCCTCTTCAGAGAAGTTTCTTTTTAGCTCTTCTGCCCATTTTTTGACTGGATTATTTTCTTTGTTGTTGCTGAGTCTCATCAGCTCTTTGCAGATTTTTGTGATCAGTCCTTTATCATTAGTGTTGGGTGCAAAAATGTTCTCCCAGTTGGTGGGGTTTCTCTTTGTTTTTGTTATTGTCTCTTTTGCTGTGCAGAAGCTCTTTAATTTGATGTAGTCCCAGCTGTTTATCTTTGTCTTCACTATCACTGCTTTGGGTGATGCTGTAAAGATGTCTTTGATGTGCAAATCCCGTAGTGTTTCGCCTATATTTCCTTCTATGTATTTTATGGTTTCAGGTCTTATGTCTAGTTCTTTAATCCATTTTGAGTTGATTTTTGTGTATGGTGTGAGGTAGTGGTCAAGCTTCAACCTCAATACTGTTTTTCATAGTGGCTGAAGCAGTGTACATTTTTAACAACAGTGCACAACGGTTCTTTTTTCTTCAACTTCTAAGATACCTAGGGGTGGAATTGCTGGATCATATGGCAGGTCTTCTTTTAATATTTTGAGAAACCTCAATACTGTTTTTCATAGTGGCTGAAGCAGTGTACATTTTTAACAACAGTGCACAACGGTTCTTTTTTCTTCAACTTCTATACTTGTTATTTCTGCTTTCTGATATGGGCCATTCTCATGGATAGGAGGTGGCAGCTCATTGTGGTTTTGATTTGTATTTCACCGGTGATAAGCAATGATGAGGAAAAAAAAAAACCCATAGCTTAACAGATATTCATTGAGTACCACTGTGCCAAGACTCTGCTAGGCCTTGTGCTAGACACTAAGGACAGAGTGATGAATGGACTAAGTTTTGTCCTATAGAATTTGTGTTCTAGTGGAGAGAAAAGCAATTCAAAGGTTATCACGGGTAGTAATTTTGTATACATCTTTTCCTTCATTTGCATATGTATCTATATATTACAAAATACCCCAACTTTATAAATACATGAAACGTATATACGTATGTGTGCTTATGTGTATTCATTTTATTTGTTAACCTGTTTTATTTAATCCAAATAGAACATGATGAACTTCCTTCCATAGAATGTATTCTGAAAATATTTTAATGATTATATGGTATGGATATACCAAACAAATTAGTCATTCTAGTTGTTTCTACACATTTGTTATTTCATTATTATAAAAAATTCTCCCAGGGACTTCTTATATCTTTAGGAATATACTTGATTACTTCTATAGAACTCAGTTCTAGACTTGAAATAGCACAGTCAAAGTCTGCAAAACTTTAATATTCCTTATCATTCCTATTTTGAGATGACAAAGTAAACAGATCTCCTACCTTCTATAGTATGAGGTTAGTTGGATATTGAGATTGCTGATTAAGAAAAAGAAGTCAGTGACCTCATTTGCTCAGGTCCTCAATTGTCTCCTCTCCAGTGCTTTCTGTATTTCATCATACCAACCTGAGTTATGTAATTAGTTATTCATCAGTAGAGTAGTTAATGTGCCGTGCGTGAGCACTTGTGGAAGACTTAGAAGTTGAAGTTGTGCCAAAATAGATTTCATATATGCATAAATGAAACGTGAATAACATTTCAGATTTTATGATCCCTTTACCTATAAAATAGACATTATTCAAACTGAGGAGAAAATCCAGACATTCTTCACCAATGTTATGAGTCAATAATCCTTAATTAGTTGTGATTTTGGAATGATGAATAACCACGAAAAGAGCACTTTGGTAGTTAAAACTTTAGTGAGCCTTTCCCATAGTGTGAACTCTATTTCCCCATTTGCTGTTTCAATTTTTTTTAAGATTTATTTATTTATACAAGAACCGGGGTACAGGCCAGATTCGTGGGAGGGTGAAAGTATTCACAGAGACAGAGCAGGGAACAGAACAGGCAGACTGATGAAATACACTGCTGAGGGGAGCAGTGGGTGAGACAGGAGAGGTTTGCTGTGCCATGTGGGTTTCTCCCTGGCTGGCTGGGATGGAACCAGCACTGCAGAGTCTGCAGACAGCTTCACAGTGCTGTGCTCAACTGCCTGCGCCACCAGGGGAGGCCCCATTTGCTGTTTTATAATTGATCACATACTTCCTGGTTTTATGATAGATAAGTAAAGCCATAAGGTTATGGTAAAAAAATTTACACAAAAACATCTTTCTGAATGTTTTTTACATTTTTATTTTTTAGATTTGGATCCTACAAAGAAGGACACAATTCTGAGAAAAACCATCATTTTCACATGAGCACTCCCAAATACTTTCTATGAACTATTTAAAACAAGAATTCATTGATTGGGAAAGTCTAATGAAAACAAAAGTGTGTTAGATAAAAAAGAAGAGATTAATGAAAGTGGGAAGCTGCACACAAAGGGCCTCAATTTTGAAAAATTATACTATCTATGCAGCGGGAAATTTTATCACTTTATAAAACATATTGCTTAATAAAAACAGTCCTCCAAATTGTTTTCCTTAAATATTATCTAAAAAAATGGAATGTGAAGCAATATAAGAAAATTTTACTATTAGAGATTAATAAAATCATTTTACCATTTTGATCTTAAAAATGGAAAACTGATTTATTGAAAAGTTGGAAGAACTACTTGCAAAATCAAGTGGTTTTAAATCCCTCTTGGGACAAAGCAGGGGAAAAATGTTTAAGGTTTAGTCTAATTGTTAGAAGAATAATATCCATTGAACTTTTGCGGATTTGTTATCATCAGCATGCTCTTCACTCTTGTTCCCTGAGCTTTGATGGAATCATCTGTCTCTTCCCCATGCTTTTATCACTCCATGCCTGTACATGGCACACCATGTTAGCATTCTCTAACCAGTTAGCACACCAGCTGTCAGGGAGCATACTTCATCATACAAGGGGCTCCCATGGAATGAATTTTCTTCACTGAAACCAAGCAATTAGGTGATGGGGAGAATTTAACCCAGTAGCACCATCTATACAAGGAATAGTGACTTTGAATGTTGTTCAGGGAGGCATACAACATCTTAGAATGAAAAGAGCCCTGACGCTTTTTGATCTCTGGGGTAGAGAGATCATATATGTGTGTTTGTGTACACACACACACACACACACACACACACACAGAGTGTTTAAGGGATTGGTATGTCAAGGAGAAAGGAGACTTCACATGATAAGGAGAAGATGACTCATCCTTTTACTCTGAGATAAAAAGATGAGTCAGCAGGGAGAACATGTTTACTGATAAACCTACACCTGGATGATACCCCCCAAACCACATTCTTTTAGGTCATAAGAAGTGGGAGTAGTGATTGCTTCTTCTGTTAGGAAAAGGGCAATGTTTGAGACAGGACAAAGATTCTTTTAACCTCTAGGATATTCACTGCATCTTTCAGTATTGAAAATCAACTTTTTTTTTGTTTTATATAATTCTTTTTAATTTTTATATTCCCCATACAATTGCAACCCCCTTATTTTGACCCCAAGCCCTCCTTTTCCCGTCCCCCACCCCCCATAGAGTGTCTCTGGTTCATAGTTGTTTGTTGATTTTGATTTTTTCTTTCTTAGAGTTATTCTTTTTCCTGGTCCCTTATTTAAGTTTTCTAGATTCCTGCTATGAGTGAGACCATCCAGTATTTTTCTTTTTCTTTCTGGCTTATTTCGCTGAGCATGATCCCTTCCAGCTCCATCCATGTTGCTGCAAATTGCATGTGTTTATCTTTTTTGAGTGCTGAGTAATATTCCATGGTGTATATGTACCACATCTTCTTGATCCAGTCATCTATTTTTGGGCATTTGGGTTGTTTCCAAAGCTTAGCTATTGTAGACAGTGCTGCTATAAACATAGGGGTGCAGGTGCTCTTTGGAATTGATGTTTCTCTGTCCTTTGGGTAAATACCTAGGAGTGGAATTGCTGGATCATATGGAAGCTCTATGTTTAGTAGGTCAAGAAATCTCCACACAGCTCTCCACAGTGGTTGGACCAGTTTTGCACTCCCACCAACAGTGCAGGAGAGTTCCTTTTTCTCCACAACCTCTCCAACATTTGTTGTTGCTAGTTTTTTTAATATGTGCCATTCTCACTGGTGTAAGATGGTATCTCATTGTAGTTTTGATTTGCATTTCCCTGATTACAAGTGATGTTGAACATTTTTTCATATGCCTGTTGGCCATTTGCATTTCCTCTTCAGAGAAGATTCTTTTTAGTTCTTCTGCCCATTTTTTGACTGGATTATTTTCTTTGTTTTTGTTGAGTCTCATCAGCTCTTTGTAGATTTTTGTGATCAGTCCTTTATCATTAGTGTTGTATGCAAAATTGTTCTCCCAGTCGGTGGGGTTTCTCTTTGTTTTTGTTATTGTCTCTTTTGCTGTGCAGAAGCTCTTTAATTTGATGTAGTCCCAGCTGTTTATCTTCGCCTCCACTATCACTGCTTTGGGTGATATGTCTGTAAAGATGTCTTTGATGTGCATATCATGTAGAGTTTCGCCTATATTTCCTTCTATGTGTTTTATGGTTTCAGGTTTTATGTCTAGTTCTTTAATCCATTTTGAGTTGGTTTTTGTGCATGGTGTTAGGTAGTAATCAAGCTTCATTCTTTTGCATGTAGCGACCCAGTTTTCCCAGCACCATTTATTGAACAAACTTTCTTTGCTCCAATGCATATTCTTTGCTCCTTTGTCAAAGATTAGTTGACTATAAATCTGTGGGTTTATTTCTGGATTTTCTATTCAATTCCATTGGTCTGTTCTTGTTCCAATACCATGCAGTTTTGATGATTATGGCTTTGTAGTATAGTTTGAAGTCTGGGAGTGTGATGCCACCATTCCTTTCATTTTTTTTCATGAGAGCTTTGGCTATTCGGGGTTTTTTGTGATTCCATATGAATTTCATCAATAATTGTTCTATTTCTTTGAAGAATGACATTGAAATTTTGATTGGAATAGCATTGAATCTGTATATTGCTTTTGGTAGTATGGCCATTTTAATAATGTTTATTCTTCCAATCCATGAGCAGGGGATGTCTTTCCATTTCTTTGTGTCTTCTTCTATTTCTTTTAAAAACTAGTGTTTTATAGTTTTCTTTGTATAGGTCCTTTACCTCTTTTGTTAGATTTATTCCCAAGTATTTGATTTTTTTTTTGTTTCAATAATAAAAGGGATGGTTTTTTTGATTTCTTCTTCTTCAGATTTATTGTTTGTGTATAGGAAGGCTACTGATTTTTGCGTGTTGATTTTGTATCCTGCCACTTTACTGAACTGATTGATTAGTTGAATTAGTGAAAATCAACTTTTTGAGGTTCTTAGGTCTTCTCACCTTTAGCTCCCCATACCAGGGTGGCACAATGGAAGAGGCCTACTTTGGGCATATTGAGAAAAGCCTATCTGTTCCTTCTGGGGAGACTATACATATATATATATATGTATATTGCATGAGCCAGTTTCAAGTATATAATCTCTCTCTCTTTCCCCCCCTCCATAAATTATATATATGTGTGTGTGTATATATATATATATATATATAATTTACCTTTCACTTCCATTCATATGTTTATGGATGGAGGGAGAGAGAGAGAGAGAGATTATATACTTGAAATTGGCTCATGCAATTATGGACGCTGCAAAGGTCTACAGTGTACTGCCTGCAGGCTGGAGACCCAGGAAAACCAAATTACATGTGGTGTAATTCAGTCTGCAGCTGAGGGCCTGACCCAAGGAAGCTAGTGTTCTAGATTCTAGTATGGGTCTGAAGGTTTGAGAAACAGGAGCATCAAGGGAGAAGATGAATGTCCCAACAGAGGCTAGCAGGCGGAGGTAAAAAGGCAAAATTCCTCCTTCTTCCATCTTTTGTTCTGTTCTGGTTCTCAGTGGATCACATGACGCCCACCCTCTTTGAGGAGGGCAGTCTACTTCACTGACTCCACCAATTCAAATGCTAATCTCACCAGGAAAAATGCCCCAATTGACACATACAGAGATAATGTTCTATATGGGTGCCCTGTAATGAACCAAGTTGACTCATAAAATGAACCATCACAAGCACTGTGATATCAAGTGGGTCTTGTTAAAAGTGTGGGTGTCTCAGGGCTTGCCCAGTTCTACTAAATCAGAATTTGCTATTAAAACAGGCCCTGAGCTTGGGGCCTCAGGCCTGAAACTGAGATTAAGATGATTCAGAATGGTTTATGTGTCCAGACAAAGTGGAAAACAAACAAACAATAACATAAAAATATGATTAATAATTCTCTAACAGGAGAATAACAGGTCTCAAATTATTAACACAAATAACTTTTTCATACACAATGCTCAGTGCATTAATCAAAAGTGACTGCACACACAATGAGATAAAACACCACTAACCACAGTGTAAAGCAACCAACCCATTCTGAGCAGGTTTATGAACGGTTCTAGCAGCCACATGCTCTTCGCCGTGGTTTGTAGTCGCTCCAACAATCCTCCGTACACTCCACTCCTCCACCCTTAACACCGCACTACCACCACACCACACTCTGCTGCACCACCCTTATATTATCAGTCTTTTAGCGCAGGTGTACCCACTTCAGGTGCCCGCCATCAGGCATGCACCCAGGATCACAGGGCTCTCTCATCTATCCTGATGGCGGAAGGGCAGAAAAGCCTGACATTTTCTTTACCCTACAGTCCACCCCCTCAGGGTTTTCTGCCATACAGTCTTTATCAGTCTCTATGTACAAATTATAAACACATGTCTTTTGGCAATATGAACACTGCAGCCATGGCCCACAAAAGTAAATGAAATACATCACAATATAACAAAATACAATGGAACACAAATACAACAGAACACAAATAAGTCCAGGCAGGGCCCCAACCTAGCGCAAAAGACAATTATTGGTACCAGCAGATGAGCCACCAAATCTGCTGCCGAAGGCACTGCTCATATGAGGGAGGGGAAATCACACACGGCATCTGCTATAACACACCAGGAGCCATCAGGCTTCCTGGCCTTCTCTGGCTGTAGTCTCGGCTACAAGGCACACACAGCATCCACCCCCAGGATGCACTAGCTCTGGGATTGGCAATTTTATTCTGTTGGGGGTAATCGCCAACCCTCAGGGTTTCTGTCTGCAGTCGCTCCAACACTCGGCCTTCACGGCCACCAATGCGACTCACAGACCCCTGCTCTCAAGCCAACCCACTGCACAAGCACATGGGTTGGGGATCCAAACTTTGCATTCGGCTTGGGCTCCACCCCAAGCCACATTCCCCACCCGTCCCCCAAGGACAGGTTCCTCAGCTCCTCACCCTCGCTCAAG